TGTTTCACTATTGAGTAATCCAAGATTGAACATTTTATTTAATTTTCATGAGGAATGAGATTTTCACTTGTCACTTACTTTTTCACACATATTTTAATTTGGGTATTGGGTTATAAAAACTGTATATTTATCCAACATGCTTTCACAACATCATAAACTACTGCTACGTTTCAGAGTTAACCAAAAATTTGTTATTTCTTTTTTCTTTATACAAAATTTATCTTTGGAAACTTTAGACGTTCATAAAACCAACAATTTTTAGAAATGGTGGCCCTGATTCTCAAAATATTGCAATACTGTAAAACTAAGAATAGCAGAATATCTATCAACAACCTGTAACTGGTTTATTATCTTCTGAAATTATATCTTGACGGAGATGCTCAATTTTATAGTCTCACGATTCGTATTTTATTTTTCTCTGACTTTATAAATTCAACAGGATAAAGTTTTCAGAGTTCTAACTTTCATGTGAACTTTCGGCAGTCGTTGATCATCGACCACTCTCATCCTTCTCGCTTTTCATATGATAAAAGAACTGTAAATATCTTACATGGGTGTCCCACATATTTTAAACTAAAACAAACTTCAAATATGACATTCCTTGAGGCAAAAATGTGACAATCACCTGGATTTTTTTTTAACATCATGCTATGTCCTGTAATAAACTATTTAAATCTGCTAACAATAAACATGAGTTAAYTCTGTAAATAATTGTGAAATAAATTATACAGAAAACGTGGTATGTATTATAATATTTATACAATTCTAAGACATCAGTTTTCATTTTAAGCATTTTCTACGACTTTACCGATAAAGATAAAACGGATTTCACTTTTTCCATAACTAGAAATTTTAGCTAAATTAARGAAGTTTCCATATTTGCCAGACTTGAAACTGGAAGTGAGCTGAGTGTTTTCTACAATTTTGCTTTCTCGCTCAAACATCCGTTCTATAAATACAAATCTTCATATTTGTTACATGTTGATCCTTTTGTCACTTGTAAAAAACAGATTAATTGTGAAGTTTCTGCCCAGTCACTGTCACTTTTTATAATCCTGCTTTATCCTGAAGGATAACTCTTATCTTTTTTGTGTTGTTTACAACATTCTATTGTGAAACGAAGTGTGTTTCCAGAGATTATCCTTGAGGAAATGGCTGCAGTAAAAAATCTGAAATATTTATTCACTGTTGATCTGTATTGCAGTAAACGGTGACTTTGCTTAAAACAGGTGTATAAACGTACGACACCGACCTTGAATATGATMTTTTCTTTCAATTATCATTATTAAAATTGCTCATGCAATACCCACACGAACGACACCTGTACGTTTTGTGTAGATTACAATTTATTACAGATAAAGGTGTGTAATCACGAAACAAGATGTTGTAGAGCGGAAGTATCCAGTCGATATCCGGACAGGACCGCGCCCCCGGCCTTGTAGGTCAGTTATATAACCATCAAAATGGGTTAGTAGCCACTTTGCTAATAAAGGTCAATAGAATTATGCAGTTAATGCGCTAATGTTTAGGCTTCCAAGTAAGGCTTCTCAATTTCAGCGAAATGAAATTGTTTCATATGAGGCTAGTTTTCTGATTCTGGCCACGTTTGAGGCGAACCAAATTAATTTTTAAACAATTCTGTCGAAGGTTGTAAACGTGCTTTCCTTAGGGAATTGTGAGCTCAAACCCTAAGGGGTTGAAATACTAGACATTTTTTTTCCTGCATTGTCATTATGATTTGGCTTTCTCAGGCTTTAAAAGGATTCGTTAGAGTTGGGTAAATAGTCGTAAAAATTCAAAGTTTTGAAAGTCATTCTGCTCTGCTCGTTGTTTCCAAGCACTATTAAGTTAACAAGCATTTATTTGTGGCGTATTTTATCACCAATAAAATATTACAAAAAATATTGTGTGTTAGGGTGATAATAATAATTGGAAAGCAGAGTTACGATGTTGTGAAGTTGCGTATTTGTAAGTTCTGAGGATTCAGTATTGATCTATTGAGACGTATAAATGTGAGAATGGCAAACAAGAAACTAATGAGAAAATACAAAATCATAAGTTTTATGAGTACTAAAAACATAATTGTAATTTATATAACAGGCAGAATAAGATAATAATTTATTTTACATTGAGTTGGAGAAAATCAACAACTGGAGTGCAATAATAATAAAGCTAACAAATTTGCAATTCTGTGCACGACATATTGGATGTTGTGTTAATTAGAGTTTGGGTCAAATTTGAATAATTCATAGTAAGCATGTATTGGTCTAATCCTGGTTGTATATTAATTGACTTTTGGGGAAGGAAAAAACTTAATAGCTTTATTTCCATCAAATATAATATGTATTTCCTCTTCCAAAAGCTTAGGTTGATAAAGAGAACAACGTGTCTACCATCCTATCCACATATGTTTTTTTAAAGTTTTCTCTTCACACAATCACAGACAACAAATAAAAACTTCTCTTGCATCCAAGCGTAATAAATCTTGATTGATCACATATCCGATCTAAATAAATTAATAATACGAATAAATTAGTATAAATAACAAGTTTTGTTTCTTTTATCACCATTTTTCACCTCCAGCAAGACACTTTGCAAAACAAACAAAACCGAAACAAGCCTCGTCGTAACATTTTAATTCCTTTGGTATTTCGTGGTCGATGCAGATGCATTTAAGCGTCTCGACTTCCTCGTCGCTGCATCTGGCAAGGGGTTGGGGCGCCACCTCGTTGCTGGGTGTTCTCATGTTCATCAAATAACATGTGTAAGAGCTGTTCGTGTGCCGTATTGCTTCCCTTTCACAAGACCGTTAAGCACGTGCTTTCTACGTCTCTGCCACCGCACACCTTACCAGCTTCTTAGCTGGCAACGGCTCCAAACGCTTGGCTTCTGCAAGAAAAAGGGGGTCTAGAAATAGATCTAAGTGCCAAATGAGCTAAGCCGGCAGGAAATTTCTGATAAAATACTGCCTTATTCTGTAATTACAGTAGTATTACATGAGTATAGTTTCACAAATTTTGAACAATTTTTTTAATGAATGTTTTTTACTTTAAAAAAAGTTATAACTATAGTAGCTTTGATGTAAAGGCTTAACAGCCAAATGATACGAATTACAAAGATACAGTACACAAGGTCGTACTAGGCAACTTGGTTCTAGGCAAATTTGTATTTTGTTATTCTTATTGCTATTGCTGTACAAGAAATCTATTCTCCTCCGTTGGAATATTGCATCAAATAAAAAAAACTTGAAAATTTATAAAACCAGTAATTATCTGTAATTTTCCGATTGTCTTTACTTCCGAGGTACTTTGGAAASAGTGAAGAAGGAACTTGCCATTACATATTTAGAAGCTTTTATCAAAATTGGTCATTGGTAAATCAATGTCAGTAATTAATTAAATTGTCAATTTCTGTGTTTCAAAGCGAACTATCTGAAGTTAATCCCTCTCATGTTAGTCGTGTGATAATCATTTGACACAAAGCTGCGCTCGCCTTCAAAATCCAATTACGCTCCTCACGGACCGATTCTTGTATTAATTATTAGTAGATTAAACTGCGCGGCGTCAGTCCTGCAATGGACCGTGAAAGAAAGATTTGCGAAGACTCAGGATTAGAAAGGCACATCGACAGTTGTGAACACCCTTTGCGTGGTAATCAAACACCAGTTGCTCTGCCGTCCTGCGCAAAGCCCCTCCTGTGAGTTGGTCAGTGAAAATTCGAACCCCTCCTGAACCGGTCCTGCAATTAGCGTTGTCTTGGCACCAAGCGTTTGATCGTTGCCGTTGCAAAGAGTGCGCGGCTAAGAACAGCAACTGGAGTCAGTGACTTGACGGCATCTGCGAGACCTCGGCGCGATTTCCGCCACATCCCCCATCGAAGAGCGTCGGGACGCGGCCGACCAGTGGCGGCGTCGGCAAACTGTGAAACGGCTATTTCCGGCGTCTCGCGAGCTTTTGTTTACGTTATGTTGGCGTGAGAATCGAGTGGTTTGTTTCCGGCTCCTTCCGGCATCGGCGGTGATGGATATTGTGTACCTTTACGAATGGTAAACTTGACGTTTAGTGAGGATCATTTACTCGGTTAGTCTATTTGTAAACGCGTGGCTTATGGGCCGCACTTGTCTAATTTAGATCCTTGTGTGTTAACCCGACACAAACCTTGATCGATTTACCGTTCCGCGGGAAAATTTCGTGATTTATTCAAATTGTAATTTGGCTCAACATCAAAACGAGTGCATGGAGGGTCGTTACTGCGTAAAAAGATAATTTCTACACCTGCTGGTTAAAAAAATTTGGATTTGTGTTAGTGTAACCATATTTATCTCCGGTTTATTTTTGGCGGATACTTAGATAAGATTAAAAATGTGTACAATAAGCTTTATAAAAATATGTTGTTGCGTTATACGCAATTGGAGCATTGTTCAAATTTATTGAATAGATTTGTTCAATTGAATTRAGCTAACTATTGTTTATTCGTATTTTGCATTTGAATTATTCAAATGAGAACATCTGCTCTAAATCGTTGGATTATTTTTGGGATAATGAAGTTGATCTTTGATGAGCATTGTTATAATTCTGACAGGACAATAAGAATAAATTCAGGATAATTGCCGTGTAAGGAGTGAAAGCTTTTTTAATTTGTATTTAGAATTTAAAAAGCCATAATTCTTCTAAAACGCTTGTATAACTTGTTAATAAAGCAATTAATTATATACCCAATATAATTTTCACTTTAATTAGGAGTTAATATATTCGTTTAATTGGAATACAATCATTTGAGGTTTAATTTATCGTCAAAGATTTAACCGCGTAAAAGTTTTGAGAATGTTCAATTCTTTCTTTTCATTACATGTTTTTAATAACTTTTTTAATTAATCTCTGTCAGACTAATACCTTGCGATACGGCCGTTTACTCGTATGCTGTTGAAAATACTTTAATGCTAATTTAATGATACCTGTAGATTGAAACATTATTCGAAAATTGTCAAATTCGATAAAATTATTTCTTATTTCTATTTCTATAAGAATTAATCTTTTTAGATAATTTAGGATTGGTTCTTTGTGTTCTTCATTGTTCCTTCTCATCCAATAGACTGGAAATGACAAGACCACTTTTTCATAATTATTGCTTTAAAGAGGATGATATACCTAGTGTAGCCAAAAAAATCTTATTTTTAAAAGAAATCTCTTATCACAATTATGCAGCTACTAAATGTCTTTTTTATTTTGGCAACACATGATTAACAAAATAAATTTACATAAACAGTTTTATTTTGAATATAAAGATTGACTTCTAACCTTGCAGCAGGAATCTTGATCCAAATCTTGAAGTCAGAGGTCAATGAAATATATTTAACATGTTTTAAGAGTTTTTAAAAACTGASAAGCCTTATCTGATTAACCGGAATTAAAAAGTAAAGGTAATAAAAAAATACTACAARTTCTCATTGCTACATTTTAATGTTTAATGACTTTCAACCTTTTTAAAAATAATTACAACTCTCATTCGTGAAGCAAAATTTGWGAATAATTACACAAATATCGACTTTTATCCGTGTTTTGTTTTTTACGTTTATCAATCGACAAACATTCAAAACTGTGATACTGATGGGTAAGACACTTATTTGAACAGTTTAAACCGTATTTACGGAGGCTTGAATTCCTTCAGTTTGGGTCTGAAAATAGTTCCCTGTATGAATTATTTCTTCCAGTCATAAATTTTATGTAGTTCGGGAGTATTGCCAATTTGTCTCGACAAAATTTACATAATAATAATGAAAGTCATAGTGCCAACACGGGATTTTATTAATATCAAAAACACACATTAATTTGCTCCAAAATGTAGTAATGATGTGAATGTTAAGTTATGCGCTTTTTTACATAATAAACCCGTATTTGGTGAAATATATTCACTTAGATGTTTTGACTTTTAACAGGTTTTGGCTATTAAATAATGTGTCAACAAGAATCGATTTTTCAAATAACCTTCACAGTAATTTAAACAGTCTACGCTCGATTTTTATACTTTTGGTTTATTATGATAAATATTTGTTCTCTTCATTTGAATATCTTAAAATATTAATTCACCGGTCTGAAATATGCAGAATAAAATACATGTCATAACTAGGTATAAAAAAGCAAAGTCCGTGTTAATTCGCAGTGACACTGAATATACCGTCAAGATGTTTTATTCATTTTTTGACCACGATTTGGTGCATAAGTCAGCAACCAAATGCAAATACAATGCAGACCAATTTACAAGTGCTTAAAATTCGCAAGACATTCAATTAAAGGCAATTGAGGGRCCCAGCACGTGCTTCAAGACTAGCATTATAATTAAACGATTTACATGTTTTAAATGGGGAATTATGGCCTGACTATGCTACTTGAATGAATTTTAATTACTAAAAATAGAATACGGATGTCCAGTCATTAGAATTAAAAAAAAATATTAGTGCCAGTCGCAGGTTTTTGAAATTCTGCTCAATAATTTAGTCTGCATCTAAATTGCTGTAATTTAATTAATCACAGTACAATTTGCGTATTTTATTTCAAATTTATCTTCCTTCTATCTCACATTTTAGATATTTAAGAATGTTGCTGTCGGAGTATTGTGTGCAAAAACTAAGGTTCCCTTGATATTTAAATGTCGGAAATGTTATTTGTGAATGTAACAAACATCCCCAAGCTAGAATAATTTTTGCCTAATGGCCCTATTATCTGCACTGATCTATTCAGCGAAGGTGCACCGTCATACTCGGGGGAACTACATCAATTTTGGTGTAATAAACCTGTTTAATTTCTTCAATTCTTTTTCACCTACTTACAAATTAGCTTTTTCACCTTAATTTATCTCTGGTTTGTCCTCCGACCCAGTGGCAATTTTATCCATTTTTCAGCGCCAGRCGCCACATAAATCACTCTCTTTTTCAATTGATAATTCATCGGTAAAGAAAATTAAATCCAATGAATCCGCATTAGCGTTGAACGTAAACAGTAGAGTCGCCTCATTTGTCTCCGGCGTTGAATTTTGTGAATTGATAAAACTGTGTACATTTTTATGAAGCACTACTCTATAAATAAATGAAGGGAGGTTGTGATTTTAAACAGAGAACAGCATTCCAGCAGGAGAGTGTAAACACTTAAAACACGAAGGAAGTTTCTAAGTGTTTAAAAGGCTAAAAGGGTTCACATTCTTGAGACTCCACTCCTTGCCAATGCACTGTACCAGGTAGATATTGCGAAATTGCTTCTTTCGGAGRTTTACCCCAATTAATTGAAATTCGGAGAAGAGCACAAAACGACTGAACAAATTTGCTTGCTGTGTCTCTCGGAGGATTCTTGATTATTCCAAAGTGTGAAATAAACGACTCAAGGCCCCAAATGTTGACTTTCAACCACTCTTTGCGAGTGTTTTAGCTTCGCGACAAATCTGTTGTCTCCGCTGTCAGTTCCATGTCCAATTTTAATTAGAAATGCTTTGGGCTCACAGCTATACTTGGAATAAACGTAAAAATAGCCATAAAAACCGGCAATTACTTATGCATGCGAGCCGCCGATTGCAAAATGCCAAAAAGAGCGGTGACGTAAGTCCTTATTTGCTATTCTAAACATTATACCTAGAACTGGTTGGAGGCTCTTACAATAAATCCTCCTCACCTTCACCTGCGATTCAGCTAAGTCGAATTTTTCGTWAAAGTAGAACAAATGCACCGTCAGTGAACGCATTAATCTATTTATAATCATTTTCGCGGAGTGCCCCCTCGGTGACCAAGTGAAGCGAAACTCTGTGGGATTTATGGTGTGGCAGTAATGGATGCGGTAGGGCAATATAAAAATATTTCTCATGCATGTGTGGGTTCATAAATTATTGTGGAGGATATTGCTCGCAAATTGAAGGATATCGCGTTACTCGGCATGTTGAGAAGCACTGCTCACATGTCCGTCTTGGTGCTGAGCTCGAAAAAATTCGCTACCAATTAGTGTTAGTGCTGGGATTAAAGCCGCGCGAATCGGATCGTGCTGCGAAAATCACTAAATAAACGCGAAATGAGAAGGATTTACTGATTTGTGTCGATTAAACCAAACTACCATTATTTTATTTTGTGTAAAATAGTGTCTAAGTGATCGAAATGTCTCCGTTTTACCCTCACCGGGACTTATTCTACTTTTATTGGACGGGGGTGAGTAAACATTAAGTCTAGGAATTCGTGGTCAACTTTGGTGGACACCAGAGTGCTAATTGGGAGAGCAAACCATCCAGTGTCAAAACTTTTCACGCTTTTGCTTCGAAAATAAGCGTCGTTTGTTGTATGTTGAAACCGATCCCTAATTTTTAGAAAAGTGTACCGCCTATTCAATTAAAATCAAGCGGAATGTTTTATCAACACTTTATAATACAATACCACCGGAATAATTGCAATCATGCTGTGATTTAATACATGAAACCGATGAGTAATGGAAATTATTTAAATTTACCAAAGCTTTTTATAAATGATTTTTATGTTATTTTCTAACGTGGTAATTATTTTATGTTGGAGTGGTAACAGTGGCGGTGATTTTTCTTTGTTGCCGACATGGAATCAGCAATTTCCACGCCACTTATTTCCTAAGATTCGATTAGATACAAAGTCGAGGAATTGTGCGGAATTTCATTCTGATAAAAGCCGTGGAAGTGTCAACTTGCGAATTGTATTTTTTTAGCAGTCAACAAATAAATATACACCTGTTTCCAGTTTGGTGTGAGGCCAAAAAAATCTATAATTTTTGTAAACAAAGAATTTTGATTTATATAAATATACAGAGCGAATCTTAACTTATACGCCTACAATCTTGTAGAACGTTAGGTTGGTTATACCAAATAACAACTAACAGCGAGAAAAAATCTGATGAAAGTTTTTTAGTTATTACCGAGATAGACCATGTTAAAAGCAATATTAGACGTTAAAATTTTAGATAATTTGTACTGATGACGCCAATGCTGACATTACATTTATTGAGTTAACTTGTGTTTTTTATTAACATTCGACAGAAAAAAAGTTTTCTTTAACTTGTTTTTTATTTTTTTAACCATTATTATTGATCATAATCTTTCATTTTCTAAGTTTATGGATATAAGTAAGACTCATCCTGGATATTCATATACGATATACATTTTTGTATTTCTAGTATTATACCCTGTACTACGAATCGATTGATACAAGTGTAAAAATTAATATTAACTGTTATCAAATTCTAACTATTGAAAAAATTGAATTCAAAATGTAATACTGCGAGCAATTTTAGTAATTAAATTATTGTTGTTTCTTTAAGCCTGTATTTTAATAACGTGTGGTGAAACTTTTAAGGAGTAAAAGTAGACTAGTTTTATTTCCTAGTTTACAACAATTTAAGTAAATTAAACTTTTTTGTTGAACTTCATTATCTGACTTCACTTTACTCCAAAACTAAGTTTCTAACATCACAAATATTGACATTTTCTCGATTCAGCTTAGTTTAACAAACCATAAACTTAGTTATAGAAAAAAATTAATTAAATAATGAGAATTTTTTGTTTCTGTTTTAAAACTTAACTCCTCTACTGGTTTAAACATTTTTTTTTAAGTTTTAACTTCAATAAGAAAGGAGAAATACAAAAATAAAAGAATTTAATAAAAAACATTTAGAAATTGTAATTGTTATCTTCTTTATAAATCATTTTTTTAACAAATCAAAAATTGTCTGCAATTTAATTTAAGCATTTCTTAATTTTTCGTATCTATGCATGCATAAAATTATTTCCTCTCTTTCTTCACAATTTTATCTTCTGAAAATTATAATTTAAAATTTCTTATTTACTGATTTTCTTATTTAAGAAATGGCTAAAGGACATCAAAATTGTAGAAACATATTTGCCGTAAATAAACACGCTAAGCTACGTAAGATGACTTGAAAGTTATTTGTTGACGAACAAGCTTCTGTTCTACAGAACTTGGCTTTTACGAGAAGCTGAAGATATACATCCAAATGTTTTTAGTGTAAATCTTGATACAGGAGTTGAGGGAAAACTTGATAAGATGTTACGAATTAATTTTGTAAATCTAAAACATTATTAAATTATTACATCGTCAAGTGTAATTGTTATTTGGCATATGAAGTGCATTCTTCAATCTTTAAATAAAACGTTTCAATATTTAAATGTGCCTATCATTATTAAAACAAATGTATTTTTGAAATAATTTGTAGCCCTTAACGAAGCTCAAATTAAAAACTTGTATTTAAAGCAAGTCTGGAGAAACTTTATTTTGTTGTTTTATTTTCTCGTAATAAAGATTTAGCCGTTTTAGTAAAAACTCCATTTTCGTCAAATTATTAACCGCATTCTTTTATAATTAAACATTATACGACATCTTATAGCGACGTCGACACGTAATTAATATTTTTCAAGCAACTTTTATAAATAAATACGTCAGATAACTGCTAATAAACCTTCTCCCGTCACTTCTTAATGCCTACAAATTAACAATTCCCGAAATTTATCGCTAATTAACCCGTCCAAATTACCACGTGTCGACAACCTCCAATCTCCTGATCAACGTAATTCATCACTTTGAAAGAATGCTCCTTGCACGCTCCCCTTATCACAAATTCATACCCTTTTTGATGAAAGCGCGGGATGGAGTGTTTTCATGTCGTCATAGAGACGAAATGACCACAAGAAAGACAATACCGAATCGTATAAACCCGTCAACAATGAAACTTACAACAGYATTGTGAAAAAGTCGACCCGAATTCGGCCGAATGGTTGCGGAAGATCCGGGAGCACGAGATTGGGGTGATTCTGGGAGAGGGGGACACTCCGGGATGCAGACGGCGGGCGTGTCTCGCGCCGCAATACCGGAGTTTTATGTTGTGATCCGTAATTTGCTAGTTTGCTGATCAAAAACTGTGATTTTCATGTGATATTGCCGTTAGATCGATCGATTTTTATTTTTGAGAAAATGTCCAGAAAACCCAAATTTGATCCTCCAGTGAGTTGCTGCTGTCAGTGCAGGAAAAATTCGGATGTTGCTCCGGAGCAAGTGACGGCGAAGTTACTCTACCGGATCGCATTTACAATCTGGCACGTGGCTTTTCATATCGAAAATGAACAGGTTGGTCAAAAAATTCTGCAACAGCATCGGCACCTTATCCTTAGCCTTCTTTCACTTAAACTAATTACCGATACGTCTTGGAAGCTTTATCTTTTATTTAATTTGATGAGATTTTATGTCCAATTGGAATTTGGTAAAAAAAGTGTAAAACAAGTGGAWTTGAAAATATACATTACCGCTGATGCAAACATTTTTGAATGATGATGTAGTTTTCTGTAGGAGTAGAAATATATTACACATGGGGTCAGTTGCACCCATCGAACTGCAAGCTGCAATTTACATATTTACTCAAAGCATTAAAATAAGCTGTCACTGCTGTTTACGTTAAGATATTACCAACGGTTTAGTTCTGCAATTTGCAGCTGTTGTTTTTGCATGTCAAATGAATAATGATTTTTGACATTCCTGATGCATTTTTATCGATTGGCAGGGATCATTAGCAGCAGAAGTGGTCAAATCAAATTGAGAATTTATTTCCAGAAAAAAATAAAGAGAGAATGTTAAATTGAAAGCTTTGAAGAACTTTGTGTTTAATCGATGAAATTGAATAAATACATATTTAAGGGAATTATACATTTTTGAGTGTAATAATCGAAGTTATTAATTGAAATTATAAATTAAAGTCATATGTTTAATAGCCAATGTTTTTTTTATTAATGTCCTATGGATACTCMTACTAAAAAAATTAAAATATTGAACCCATTTATTAAAACGAGACTAAAACATGTTTTGTCAAGTGCCAAGTTTTAGATCCGTATTACGTTTGTACCAAAACCACAAATTTGGTGTTACAAACTGGATTGTATAATCTTTTGTAAATATTCTGAAGGTCTTCTGTAAAATATTTCCAACGGTGGAGTTTCGATAATATTTTCGATATTAATTACTTACTTATACTAAAAGCTTAAAACTTATTCAAACAAACAAATTAAAACTTCCTTCAGGCTAAAAGCATTTCATCTTGAATTTTTTCTTTCATTAATTTAATGCAAAAGCTGTGCATTAACTTTTTAATCACGTTCTGCATCATGATTATCCCAGTGTATGTATTAATTATTTAAGATTCTCTCTGATCAAAGAGTTATCGTAAAAGGAAGGGTCTTGGAAGTTGATGAAGTGTTAAATTATGGATAACAGCAATAAGCTCGCACTTGATTGCTTTTAATTGCATTCATCTCCCCGACAATCAATCACCGAATGACGAAATGAAAATATTATGATGGCGGGCAATAACTATCGTGATACGCTATTTATTTGTGTATGTAAATTCGATGCTAACGCAAATGAATAAATGTTATTTTAGGTCCTTAGACCGGACCAAAGATCATCACTACTTATATTTATCGTAGTTCCAGTCAGCTTTCATTATAAATTCATGTTTCGCGACTCGAGCTTAGAAAAACGAGAAAGTTAAATTATGTTATTACGCTTTAGTACGCGATCTAAATCTTCTTCTTTACAGCTACAAGCGGCAGTTTCTATGGCAGGGTAATAGTAGTCGATTTTCTTTGCTAATTGCCGGTAAAGTCAGCAATTACCTTGAATTATGAGATGTGTGTTTCCGATTGAATCGAATTGAGTTTCGTAATTCACCTGGCGCCAAAATAACTTTATCTGTATTTGTTTATACAAATAAAATTTTAATGATAGCAGTTTTAATAAGCGAATTTGTTCCAGCACTCCCACGATGAGCTGTCGAAAAACGGAACCGCGATGAATAAGGTAAGATCCAAGCGAAATTAGCATCCTTTTAAGTCTTTGGACATAAATCTCGACTCTCCTTTTGGTTATATAACTATTCTCGTCTAGTCGTGCCATCAATTATAATTTATAGCACAAAGTAGTCCATAAAYGTCGGTTTTTTTCAGAACAGCTATTAAAATTTCAAGGTTTTGCTTTCGGTCTAACCGTGCATGACGTGAAAACATACACCTACCTGTAAATTTAATTAACTTAGATACTTAATGAAATACGAGCAAACTCTTTTCTAATTTTCCCACCTCAAATGTAACGGAAGAGTACATATTTCTAGAAATGAGTGTCAACAGGTGTGGTTTTAATTCAGTGCAGAGGATACTATTGTCATACAAAACATTAGCAATTATTCTAATTAGAAATTTAATTGTTAGCTTGGACGCGGTTTTGTAATTATATACGTTTTTTTTAATATCGTGTGGTAATTGGAAATAATTTATTACCTGGCTTCTCAAATCTGAGAATTTAGCGCTTATTACATTCTGTTGTGATAGTTTATTAGCGACGCTCTAGAATAGGTTGTATAAAGCAGTAATTGCTTTTGCCATCACATTTTTTTAGGATAATAACAGTAATATAATATATAATTTTGACTTCCTGTAGATAGGCTTTTCCGGTTAATTTTGTTACATTAGCTGTATTATATTTATTTATATTTAAAAATAATAAAACTTTACTGGGTGCATGATAATGTTAAAGAGCTGTTTATTTGTCATTGAAAGGTGTTCCAATAAAAATTAAAATGTTAAATTGGCTCAACCTGACAAGTAATTTAAATAAATTCTTTAAGACTAATGTCTTCTATTACATCATAATTTCTGGAAATTTTCTGATTTATGAGTTCTACTTCTAAGTCTGGTTTTCACCACTACCACAAAGAATGTTTCACTTTTGTGGTAAAAAGTGAAATAAATTTTAATAGTTTTGAATCTTTTTCTAAGTACAATTTACGTAATATGTAATTGAGATATTATAAAATTATCAAAAAACACTTTAAATACACGAGCTGAAAATTTACTGAAATTTTCAATTTTCATTATCTAGAAGAATAGACTTTTTGAAGGAAATGTGTCATTCATTTCAACTAACTCAAAGAAACGATTCTTTTCTGTCATCTAAAAATCCGGGTATTTGCCTTTCAAGATTACAATTTAAATGAGTTTTATTTGATCCAAAAGACGAGGGACAGAATTTGTAGGAAACTCTTTTAATCAATTGTCACTTAATGAAATTTGATSTCTTTTTTCAACGTTTCAGAAATTTCGTTTGAAAGAACGGTTAAAAATGGCATTGTATACATTATCCCACGCGAAATATTTACMRTGAAGATATTTCATTTCATTTTTATTTATTTTCATTGCCAACATTGTTTATTTGAAATAATTCTGCCGTTGGCATTTGCCTTGGCGCATCAATKTATGATGGAATATAGAAAAATTATCTTTTAAATACAGGAGTTTTTATTAAGAATGACATCAGCAGCTTGCATTTACAAGTGCTGAAGGCAACGCAAACAACAACGTGCTAAAAGGCACTTTATTATCTGATTGAAAAAAATTGTATTGATCCACTTTTCGCAGATGCTGGCTTCAACATCTTACAATGGTGAAGCTCTTACAAGCCAACCGCGGTCATCAAGAGGAACTTCCACGTCCAACAGCGGCATGGATTTAAGTTATGTGACTGAAAGGATTATCTCTGTGTGGTTTCCATCGTCGACGAATTCGCATTCGTACCGGCAGGGACAAAGACAAGCCGCTCATATGCTGAGGAACAAATATGGAGATAATTACATGGTGAGTGTGATGGCCCTAAATAACCGCGGCTTGTTTGGGGCTCTGCCAAATTTTCTACAAGTGAAAGAGTAACTGCGAYTCTTCGGCCCAWGTGGTATTAATTTGATACTCGTGAAGATTACATCAGATTTATCCCGCACACTCTCGAATTACAGTTCGTGTAACTGTWTTTTTATTCGGCGTTCGCTTAGGGATGGAATTACAAACATTTGCGTTTTACAGGTATTTAATCTCACCGAGCCTAAACGAGCGTTAAGGAACGAACATAAGCACGTTAAGGAAGTAGGTTGGGCGCAGAACTTTGCACCGCCGTTGGAGAAACTCTGCAGCGTATGCAAGGAAATTGACTCCTGGCTCTCCGGGGACCAACACAGAATTGCGGTATTACACGCTAGGTAAATATTTTACCGGACACGATGACCTCTTGCTCCGGCCTCTATTCAACTACACCCACCATCGGAAATTTTTTCATAGACTTATAATAGACACTGAATAAAAAATGTTTTTCCTTCAGAGRCAACAAAGATAAGCTGGGAGTCATCGTGGCGGCTTACATGCACTATTCGAGTATTTGCGGAAGCGCCGAACAAGCCCTGGACCGATTTTCGATGCGAAGATTCTTGGACGATAATGTTGGATCTCTTGCGCTTCCGTCAAATAAACGGTGTGTTTTCTCAACTGATTTAAAATTTCATTTTAATTTGAACAACGTAATTACAGATATGTCGACTATTTTGCGGGTTTACTATCACACAATATTAAAATCAATGCGAATCCTTTATACCTGACCCATGTTACGGTCCTCGGGGCCCCAACTTTCCAACGAGGAGGTTGTAGGGCGTTTCTGAAGCTATACCAAGGCCAAACTCCGGTTTACACATCAGGTAGGAAATTCTGTTTCAGCTTTTGATGTTCTGTTYAAATATTGACAAGCGATTGCAGTTGCAGGAATTAATCGATAATGCAAAACATTTCTGGTGATATTCCCTCAAGAGCTTTCAACTTAAAGCGGTCATATTTGATACCGATCTGTCTGCGTATATCCGTTTCGCTTCAATGACATAGACATTATTTTTTGAAATGTTTCATAATAAAACAGAATAACCTCATTCAACAACATTTCGGTTAACTTTATTAGAGTAATAAAAGTCCATTTTCATGTAACTAGTTTTATTTTCATCATATTTATTCGTGAATAAAACATTTAATTCTCTCATATGTATGAATCCCGAGTGGCGCTTATTTCTATAACTCAATTACAAAGTTCCGCGATCTTGTGAAGTTTTTGTTTCGGAACTTTTGGATTCKGCTATAATTTTTAGAAGCGTCAAGCTTGCAAATTTTTAAAGTGTTGTTGAACAGAACCCATTTTTTAAGATAAGGAAAAAAATAAAAGCAGTTGGTGTTCTGTAAAAATTACGATTAAATAATTTTGTTTAAAAATAAATTTTATTTATCATTGAATGCTTAAAAACACTAATTACAGCTAATTGTGCATTTTGATAAATATTCGTGTATTACTGGTTGCGTCGAAAAATCTGAACTCAGTTCATTCATTTCAGAACGATTGTTTTCGGTCGTTTGAAAAATCGGGATAATTATTTGACTTTCAARACAAGAAATATAAGGGTATTAAAAATTTATGATCGAGCATATTGGAGTGGTTTTATAAATTCCGAAGATATTATAAAACTGTGTATGAGTTTGTTGGTACTCTCTACACCATATTTTCCGAAAAGATTTTAATAATAAATTACACTTGAAATTATTGAATCTGGGAATTTGTTTACTCTATCAAATTTAAAATTGTATTTTGTACTTTTTGTTCATCGTTTTGTTTCCTCGCTTCGATGATGTTCAGAAAATAACTTCCGCTTCTTGTACGTTTAACATCTCGCTTCACATCTCCCTAAAGACTCCAGATGCTGAGAAATGGTAATACAGTGTTTGAAATTGCAATATTGGAAACTGACGTTCYATTTCAATCCGCATATCTCAAGAAATTGGTTTGTTCCAGGCGTCTACAACGTATCAAGTGGTGTAAGCCAGTTCACGGTGAATGTAGTCGGAGAACGTCGACGTGGCCTGCAGCTAAGGGGTGACATCCTGATAAAGTGCTATCACCGTGGAGATGTAGGAAGAGAGACGATATTCGCATGCCAATTTCACACTTGTGCGGTAGCCGATTACACGCTTAGTTTTACGAGACAAGAGCTCGATGTCGCCTGCAACGGTAAGTTGACTTTTCTACAGGGAAACTAATTTGCTATTTTTCCGATTAAAAAATTTATTGCTGTTTTTCATTGCAGACCCTCGTTTTCCGGTTGATGGTGCGGTGGAATTGCATTTTTCACCCGGACCTGAAGACAGACACCCCGCACCCGCCCCCACACCAGCGGTTCCTTGTAAGCAAACAAGCGACGATCCTATCACCAGGGCGGATAGCCCATTCTCTGTGGAGGAGTACGACGAGGAAGGAGACTCAGACTCAGGTAATTGCAAAAATTGCTTCCGTTTTTATTGAAAGCTGAAGCAGAGAGGTTTACAACCGAACCCGAATCAATATTTTGAATTTATGGTTGTAGATTTATTATTGGAGAAAGTGTTCCACTTAAAGTGCTTTAGGACACTGCGGTTTTATTAGAATCTATTTGTTGGTACCAGTAATAAGCAAATAGGTCACGTATTATTTTTATCATACACTTTAAAGTGACACAATGCAGGTTTTTGGCGTTTTCCTAAAGAAAGTTGCCAGGAGCTTTGATGTTTACACATGCATACAAAAGTTTGCCATAATTCTTGTGCTGCTTTTAGAAGTTGGGTAATTTTCTTGTGTCGCAAAAAATAAACATACTTTTTTATATCGRGATTTAAGGCTTCATTCCAGAAAGTATAGCTAATGAACGCAGTTCTATAACGACTTAAGTGCCTCATTCGTGAAAGGAATAGGCAGTTGAAGAGCTTTTTCTTATTTATTTATCGTTTTTGTGAGTTTTAACAATAGTTTCGTGAAGCGGAAATTATATTCTCTCCCACGAGAGTTTATAAGTACGTAACTTTTGCTTGTTCGAGTATATTTGTACAGATCCACAAACAAGAAAGCATAAAAACCTTGGTCAGAGACTTGGCAGACTAAAGCCAGGTGTGGACTGTATAAATAGATCTTTGTGATTTTAACTAAGTGTCCCACGATACGGTTTAACGTTCCGTTTCGTGTCTCGTTCTTTTCATCATAGCCCATTACCCTTCCAAAGGTTGAAGTTCATCCCACTAGACCTGCAAATAAAAATCCACAACCTGTGTCTTCAGGAATATCAAAAGGATTACTCGTTTTGCTCTTGGACACATCCAGTTTATCAAAGACTAGGAAAAGATGTGCAAAATCCACATTTTGTTAAATTTAAATTATGTTTAACAGCGCATGAAGCTCAACGTGACGTAGAGGTTTCGATTTGTTCCACATTTCTAGTCATAAATTCAATTTGCATCACCCTAATGACCCTAATGCAACGAGCTTCCTGCATAAACAACGTAATTTATATTAAATACACGCTACCGTGGCGAATGGSTGAATTCGAGTGACGCCTCAACCCTTGATTTGCTTCATGGCTTGTTAAAAGAATGTCCTCCTACGCGACCAATTTAACCATTCTTACACTAAACACTGCTGCAACAATCCAATTAGTTTCAGTATCTGGCGTGGAGTTGCAGACGCCCAAAATGWAACGGGAGAAGAGACTAATTACTGACTTTGAATGCATTTACACAAGAGCTTGGCAAAGATACTTTTTATCTAGATGTGAGGCATTCCAGTCAGTAGTCGAAAATAATTCCGACGGTGATGACACGTGAAGTAATTATAGTTTTAATTTGGAAAAATCTAAGCACCAATACATAAAAAATTAATGTAATAAAATGTGGGAGCATTTTAAAGTAACCTTAATCTCTGATTCTGCAACGAACAATTTTTGAGAAAATCGCAAGTACTCGTAAAAGCAAGAATAATCAAAATCTACACTCCARTTTAACTTATACGAGTAAATTATTTGCTATTTTTTACAACGCTTTTGTATTTTTCTAAATCTGAACCCCCAATGCACAAGGTTTAATTTTTAAGTTTTTAGTTTGAGTGATTTTTGTTGAAATTTTTGGTACCCGGAGCGATAACTTCGGAATTATTGACGCTAGTTTTTTTGTTTCGTTTTATATAAAAAAAAACAATAATTGTCCTACGTTAAATAGTTATCGAGAAAATTGCTGATAAATCAAAAATATCCAAAATATTAATTCAACTATAACTTCTAAACAATCAAGAATTTTKCAGTTTTCTCGACGTCAATCGATGTCTCGGAACATTTTACATATGTATAAACATTATAACGTTTGAGGTACAGTTTTGCCGCAATTTACAAAAAAAAAAGTAGAAATTAGTTAATCTTCTGAAGTTATGACAACATCGAAAATAATTGTATACAAAATTTGAATGATTAATTTGGTTGTTTCTAAAATATAATTTTAGTTTTATTACCACTACAAAATAATTTTGCGTGATTTTGACCCTCGCTGCGCCACTGTCTTATCTTATCCAACTATCAGAAAAGTTTTAGTTTTGTCAGTGGATTTAATTCTCAAGTGWTTTCGCAATGGTGAAACGATTTGGGACTTCCGTGTTTCTAGACGTACGAGTCATTCGATTTAACTTGTATTGAAACAATCACAGATGTTTTTTTTTTCAATTTTTTTTTCCAATGAATTTCGTCGGTCTAACGAAATGTAAATAGCATATAAACGCATTTTCTCCCGTCAAATCTAACTTAATAACAATAAAAAATCAAAATAGAGCACGCTATTTTTCCGACACATGGTAGATGTCCTTCTATATCATTTTTATGATCGCCACCTACAGCTCATYTATATTAAATATTTGTATAATTCATCCGGCTTTTCGAAATTGCCGGCAATCAACTAAATATAATCCCAGTGTAATGTTGACGATAACCTGCACCGGCCTCACGTTATTTCTGTCCAATGGGGGGTACCAATTTTAGCGTTTGAAAATAAAATCAGAAGTCCGAGATCGAAGCGACGGACTGCGTCGAGACGGTGTGCGTCGTATTCTTTTTTTACAGATTAAAATGTCGGTTGAAAGTTTTTGTAAGTTCCAGGTAAGAGCGATAACAAAATCCGTGTTGCATGCTTGCTCTTGAACAAACATTTCTGCATTGCTAATTCTCGTTGTGGCGTAACTGTAATCTGCAACAGTTTGCTGTCTCAAGTACCAATTCTGTGATATGGGCGCTGTTTATGCTTCTGGAGAACATTTGACGGCAATTACTTAATTTAATTATAGCCGGCAGACCAATTTCTTGAGAGCTTTAAGCTCGCGGAAAAAGCAGGGCTTGTGAGAAAACCGTAAATCGCTGTAAATCAATTTCGCATCAAGAAACCGCTCATTTGAAGTAATTAAACATTTGCTGTATTTATTTATTGGAATTAAAACAAATCATAAATCTCTTATAATTATAGCCAAGTCAGCACGCGAACGCTTGTTAGATCGCTCTTTGTCGTTATTAACAGTGTGCAAAATGTTAATGCTGAGTGCCGATCCCACTTTCTCGATCAATTTAACAAGAGTATTTATTATTATTATAAAGAAGACTATCCATTACAATAAGCAATGTCAATTTCTCCGGCAATCTTGTACTTAAGATAAGTGGGGGCTGCGCTCCCACCTAAAAAGGATTGATCCGTAATTTCTAAAGAACTTTTCATTAGTGCTTGGCTATATGTGCAACGAAAAAGGTGTGGGTGGGTTCAAGAAACAATGATTCAGTGGTTTGCCTGATGAAAATTCAAGGTTTAACTCGTTGAAAAAAATGGAGATTAATTAATTTATTATAGCGAGAATGTAAGTGCTAAAAAACTGATCCACTTTGATAAATTGTGGAGGCGTTGATTTTGCAACTGAGTTTTGAACAAACTGAATATTTAGAACGTAACACTAACAGGTGGTTGGTTAGGTCATGAGCTTTTGAAATTTTCGCACAAATGCACCAGCAGTKAGTCAAAAATTTGGACTATTTCCGCATTGCTCTTCTTTTATTTTTACTTGTGTATTTATTTATTTTCCTTAAATACGAAATCAAATATTTAAAATATTTTTAATGAGTGTAATATATGTTTATTTTTTTATTAAAACTATGGTTTATTTAAATTTTAATTGACTTAAAAATAAACTTGCAAATTAATTTTTTAATTCATTATTAAACATTAGAAATTGAATTTTAATTTTAAGTTAAAGTCCATAAATAATGCTCTAAATGCGACCTCCTTTACAATTGTTACATAATTTTTTAATTTGGGTGATTAGCCACTTTTAGCACGAATTAATTKAGTCCAACCGATTAGCCCCTAGCAAAATTATATCATTTAATTATAAGGCGTGGTTCAGCTAGAGGTTGGGGGTTTGCAAAATATTCGCTCCCTTTTGGGCACCCCCCAAGGCGCGGCCTATATATTAGCTTTACTTCGTGTTATTCATGTTTACAACTAATGTGAATTATGGCAAAACGTACATAAAACACGGTTTTCTTCCCTCGCTTGACTTAATTCCGGCCCCTGTAGAGCTTATTTATCAATAGCAATATACCTCGAGATGTAAATTGCACGTTAGTGTGGTAATAATCTAAAAGTTCGTGTCCGGAGGAGGTTCTCACCTGCAATTTACAATTATTACGTTCAATTTGGTCTCCGTTCACGTTTTGTGTACTCTTCCAGTTTGACAGCATAGTGATAATTACTGCCGGAGGCAAGAAAACTCCGGGATAATGCCGTCATGAAAGAAATGATTAGGCCACTCGGGAAGAAAGTAAAGACAGCACATTTAACGATCCATTGTCCTTAGTTTTTAAACGTCTCGATGTGTGGGAGAACGAGTGCACAGTTTTTCAACACCAGATCTGGATCTGGAGATCCAATTCAAAAATATTGACATTGAGTGGTGAACCATTTGCATATCAAGGCTACTAAACCGATCCTCCACTTGCTAATTGATTGCCTTGTATGGAGTTGCGTTCAACACTTCAGTTATAATTTAATCTTCACCGGTCGTCGGCCACTTTTCGCCTCTTTGCTTTGTGATTTATTTCGAAAAACGGACTTATGGATAATTGATTGTGTTCCTCCTGTATGACTCAGTTACCAATTACTTGCGTTATTGAAGCTTGGAACAGGAGATTTATCTTTTGGGTGGTTCGCCACATATGGACCTAAAATAATACTCGTAACTACCTTGAACTCGTTCCACGGGAACTGAAATATTGATGCGATTAAGTAATTTGATCAGTTAAATATACACTCTGCACGATTTTTACCCAATTATGATAAAATCATAAATATTTATCCACTTCGAGAGCAAAGTGACGAATCCAGGCAATTTACCTGTCTAGTGTGAGTCAACGGAAATGGCCATTAATTAATTCATCAGAAATCTCGTATGTTTTGGGACAAAAAAAAATGAAAAGGTATTGCAGACACTATAAAATTTGTGCAATTAATAAGTATATAACCACTGCTTTCAATCTTTTTGGTTAGGAACCAATGATTAGAGTCTATTGTTTTTTCTCAAAATTTGTTGAACATCTTATAACATTTCTTTACATTTGAACTTAAAACTACTCGTACTAATGTTTTAGTTTTATTTGAAATAGATAACTGAAAACTCTGAAAATGTGATTTATTGTGAGTATATAGAACCATTAAAAATAATTATTTTGATAGCATATAATGCACTAGTGTCCTTGATAAAATTACGCATCTTTGAATCATCACGAATAACAATAAAATGTGAATATGTAACTTTCTACTTCAGCCTAGTACTTTTTTATGTTTATTGGTATAGGAATAGATTATTGGGCGATATCTGTTAAGTATTTCATCTACCACTTTCAACGCAATGGAATTTGCCTCCCATCAAGAAAACACCGCTTAGTTTGCAGTTGAAGAACGCATCAAATAGTTTTTCCGTGACAAGAATAGCACCCATTTTGCATAGTTAAATCAGTTGTTAAGATCACATAAATATTTTAAAAAGGTTTTAAACAAACATAATGTAAATTTAAATAAACATTATAATGTTTGAATTCTATAAACGGTTTGGCTTCAACATTGTAAATGGAAATTATTGCATGTTAAATGGGCATATCACTCTGGGAAGTCTCACTGACTCCATAATTTTTTCTTTTAAATGTGATTTTATTCAGGCCATAAATTATCTTAAACGAGACTTGATAGATATTAACGATATGTCTAATAAATTACTTTTAAACAATAATGCCTAACACAAATGAACATTATAACTACGATTAAATTGCAGTTAAAAAATGTATTTAACTTGCAAATTAGATAATTGATGCCTGAATCGATCAATGTAAGAAAATAAGTCGTGATTACCTGGCGGAAGGAATTCATGCGGTCACTTCAAAGTAMTTCAAAACGCCTCAAGTGTTTGCATTTTATTCATTGTTTAAGAGTAAATTGCGCCATATCATGTCGTTTTATTTTTAGGCTAATTTGTCAATTTTGTTGCAGACGACGTCAATCACACGTTTGGACCTCTAGACGGTAGTATTTACGCAACTATCGCCAAAAAGCCGGAGCTGTCTCCTGGCGCCGTTTCTAGTCCGTTGACGGTGTCCATGGACTCGGGTATTTCTTCAGCAGGTACGTTATCCTGCGCTAAAAAAGGAATCGCTTTGTGGAAACAACGGTGTGTTCCACTAAACCAACAATTTGCTTGCTTTGACAATTTCTTTATTTGTTGTTTGTTTGTCGGCGGCAGGCCACCAGCAGAACGCCAACACAACCGCCTCCGCGAGCCCCCCACTAACTGCCCAACCGTCCCCCTTGACCCCCGAGGATCAGCACCGAGAGCTGGACGAACTCGTCTCGGACATGATGTTAACGGTTCAGAGCATTCCCGACCTGAAACCGCATCACCAGGACCAGTCCTCCGGGTCCGCAATCGGGACCAGCGACAACAATTTCGGCCTCGACAATGTGCGCTACATAGACGACGAGGAAGACAAGAACATCCCGTACCACGCGCGACAAGACAGCCGCCCCTTCACCTACGGCGTCAACTCCAACAGCATGATCGGCGACTCCAAGGGGCTGTCGAGCCCCAGTCTCGTCCGCAAAGCCAGCGTCAACAAAAGCACGGGAGACACTCTCAAGAAAGTACAAACGCAAGTGTATCCAGACTTCGGCTCCAAGCCAGTGCCCAATTTCTCAAACCTACCCACGTACCACACACCCTCGAACTACAGCACGTTGTCGAAGTACCCGAGGTCGTACTCACCCTCAGAGTCGAGACAAAGGGACCCGATTGATGATATCTTCACTCCGAGTGCGCTGAATGCCAATCACCCGATTAAAAGGGAGTTCCGAGAAGAGTACTACAAGGACGAAATCAAAAGGTACACTCCTTTGAAAAGGAGCATCACGGAAGGGGCGCTCAGGGGATACGATGATTACAAATCCAGTTCAGCACTTACGAGTCCGTATTCAGACTCGGAGAGTTTGTCGCCTCCGGGAGCTTTTAGGACGAAATCACCGGAATTTCACGAGTCGTAAGTTAATTTTTTGTGTTTACAAGATAATGAGTGGAATTGTTCGAACATCTGTGGGTTTTCCAAATAACTATCAAGAAAGTTCCCACAGTGTGGCAACACTCCATAAAAGACCAAATCCATTTAAAGCGGAAAATGATTTTTAAATTACATTATTGGGTTGAAATTATTATTAGAAAGTAGCGCGAGATCACAAATGGTATTGGTTCTGCCTCATCTCAAATTATAACCGCTGCCGCTTCGATTGAAACCTTCAATGGGTAGGTACCCTTGAACTTCGCTTGTTTATCGCCATATGTTCACATATCCGCCAAAAACACCAAATTTCCTAWTAAATCCCGGGAAACTAGCTGCTATTTGCAGATTTATGGCGCACTTAACTGGTTTCTCAACACGTTTATATTACCATAAGTGAGTAAAGTGACTTTGTAAGGTTATTATTTGCATTTTTGCAACCATGTGTATTTTAACCTACTTATACCTCGTCGACAGCCTTGTTGCATTCTTGGTCCCATAGTTTTCAATCATTTGCGGTTGTTGCTCATTTTTCAGCGGCTTCGAAGGCTTTAATAAACGATACCAAAATGGAGATGAAAGTATCGTTCATAATGTTGATAATCCCAGGATGAATGGCATGCGGACGACTTCCTTTTGGAGCCACGCCGGAACCATTAATGTATTTACACAAATTCTTTTTTTTTTCGTGGAAAGCGAACCGCCATTCACGATTTAAGATCAAGGCTATAATCGCGATTAGCTAATCTTTTCCTTTCATCGTCTCCAAAACGCTTTAAATTTAGAGCGGGTTGGCACCGTGCCTCGTGAATCACGGAATCGGTGTCGTTATGACAGAATTATACAATCTTTGAACCGAGRTGAGTAATTTATTATTGTTATCATTGATTTATCGCGACGATTTTCTCAGCTGGTCTCCCTTCTCTGATAAATCGGTTCGGTACCTATATGGCCAGGCTCGAGGCTCTGCATACGAAGTAAACAAACAAGGTGACGTCAAATTGTTTCTTTGGTTATCGCATGGTCCACTGATATTAAAACATTCACGTGGGTCTGTGATCGTAGGTAGGGTCAGTAATTTGTTTCTTAGTGTGGGCTTTCACGTGAAAATTATTTGGACATAAAACTTGAGCCATTCACTAATTCGGGCTCTCAATTAATCAGCAATTATGTCGTTATTTCGATTAACCAATTGCGGACAGCTGCGACAACCATATGGCTGATGTCTTCATTACGGCTACTACGTTTACTCCATTTCAATAAATTTACATTTATAAATTATGGAGATACCTACAACACCTGTTAAGAGAAATATATCAAAAACTAAATTTAATACGTAATAATTAACAAAGCTTTCTTTCATGCTTGTGGTTTAAAATCTCATGCTCAAAGCATGCATKTTATTCTTTACTTGAGCGCTTGAGCCCCAAAACCGTATCGCCATGTCTTGATAATGTGTATCAACACGATGTTTCCTTGAGGTGCTTAAGTTACTTCTCGCAATTACAGAAATAAACAACGGAAAATGTTAGATGTGTCGTTGAACTCGGTAGCACCTTATAGCATTCTTRGGAGGCATTTTCTTAATTTGGAAAGACGAGTAGATCGACTTCGCAACAAAAAACGTACAGTTGCAGCGTAACGTTATGATATACGTGGGTCCGAAACTTGTTAACCCCAACCTTATTGAGTTTAGATCATGATCCAAAAAATGGCTAAGGTCACCCAAAGCAATGTTTAATAAGATGTGTGGGTGCATAATGCGACGTAAATGTGCCTATTGTTTTCTGATCTCGTGTCAGCTTTGAAAGATAAATTGTGGAGTAAGAATGTAACAAAAGGAAGGGGTGTCTCATTACAGAAAAATGACAAGGTTTAGTGTCTTGGAATTGATTTTCAATCGATATGTTTTCACGTGTTCAATGAAGTGGAAGTTTGCAATTCTACTGAGGTCGTAAAGTAAAAATAAAATCTTGAGTCATTACAAGACTTTATTACTATTTGCGTACCATAAGTTAATCAAGTTAATAAAAATTTTACTTAAAACAAACAAACTCCAAGGCCAAAATGGATATACTTACGCTTGGAAAGAATATTTTGACCACCCCTTCACAAAACGCTATCATTTTTGTAACTATAATTAAATATAAATTTATTAATTTATTCGGTTTACTTTCAATGCTTGTAAGAAAATCAAAGATTAAAGAAGTCATTAGAAGATCATACTAACAAATTAATACAAAATAGGTGTTTTCTTTTTGAAAATTAAGATATTATATTTTTAGAAGATTAAATGTTAAATATTGTGAAGACTCAAAGCAGTATTAATGTTTTTTATTTTTTCTACAAGAGATTGGAAAATTTTAGTCACTTGCAATTGATTTTTTGTTGCAGATACACAACAAACAAGAACTTGACATGGCTCCAAAAGCAGCAACTCAAACTCAAAGAGCGCCGCGAGCTGCAATTGAGGGAAGAAAGACAACCTCACGAAACGCGCCTTTTGAGTGAACTAAAGCACGTTCAATCCCGGCACATGAAGCCGACAGCTAGTCATCGTCTTGACGGCTACACCAGCGATACAACGGCTTTTCCCGACGATGAAGAAGACTACGCAATCCCTCTCCACATCAACACCATGCAAAAGAACAATGGCACGGCCCCAGGCTCGCCCCGAACGCTGTCACGAACATACAGTGCGAGTAAATACACCACCAAAACGGAGCGGCCTTTCATGACCGTCAAGAGGGCCCACGAGAGATACGCTCAAGTGAGTTTTGCCTAACTTGGATTAAACCTCTCTCACCTGGACTAACACTTAACCCTAACAAAATCCTTGCAGAATTCAGATTCGCCGGCGTCGATATTAGCTGCGAATCCCATGGGGCAGATTGTGAGGCCCCCGTCTAGGGGCGGCGAGGGTGATAGCGGATTGTTGTCTCTAGTCGAGGAGCAGTATAAACACAGTCCGCGATATAACCAAGGGGGTTTGGTGGGTATTGACAACTCTAGTGTTGATAGTTCACCAGCAAGGAATGATAACGTTCCCATAGATGCACTCAATGATCTGATTGCTAGCTTATCAAGTGGATCAGATAAGTCTAGCAATAGTCCTAATAACACCACATCTGCATGGCAGGTACTAACACTCATTTTTTGATTTCTTTTTTCTTCAGTTAATTATTTTAATTCAGCTTTTCGCATGGTGTTTTGATCAGCCGGTGTTAGAAAATTTCAAGAGTGTTTAATTGTTTGATTTTTTAGTATCGGGAAGAAACCCACTCCTGGCGTTCTCATTCTGTGAATGATGTAGACACGAGTCCTTCACACAATTCGTCACCGAGGCCACAAACACCAGCTTTTCCAGTACATGTGCGAACTCCTTATACGAATCCTTCTACACCGACAGTGCAATTCGATTTACCTTCCGAACGATTACCGCCTAAAAGTCCTACAACCCAGCGGTGAGTAATAAACCAAACAAAGTAAACACATGCGTTCTTTTATTATCTCAAAATTACATAAGGTTATCGAATCTGATAACAGTTGYTTGTACAATTACATACTGAAATTATGAAAATTTTATAGACGTTTKAGTTGCCCGTCGTCTAATAAAGTTACAAAGAAGTGGTCGCTTTCTCCTGAAAGGTAAAGTAATTTCATGTTGCCCTGTTCGAGCATGTCATTACATTTCTTCACTTTATGTTTCAAATTCGCTAACAGCAACATGAACAGGAGAAATAGAACAACAAAATGTGATATTGTACTTACTAATATCTTAGACAAAAATTTAGTTTCTGTGATATTGTCTTGAAGATTTCCAGCACACATAAATTCAAAACAGACGCTTTTCAATGTTTAGTTTACCTTCCAGACTGTTGATGTACATAGTTGTCTGTATAAAGTCGTAGTTCATTATCACGTAAATTTGGAATGCACTTTTTCATTTTATTATAGCATGTCAACACTTGGATGTTAGTTGTATGTTTTGCAATCCCTTTGTTTTTGTTTAAATAGAAAGGACCGACCGACTTCTCCGACAGATATGATAAACGGCTCTTCAGAATACACAACACAAAGGAGCGTGTCAGCAACTCCACCAGGATACAAAGAGAACTACTCGGAGAACTATCAACACAGTCCTAAGAGTCCAACAAGAAACGGGTCAGCGTCGCCGACTGTCTATTTCGGCAACTCTAGGAGAAGTTCTGTTCATTCAAATAGCGAACCTCCTCATGAAGTTTCAGCAGCTAATGTCAAATTTGTGAGAGATACCTCCAAGTATTGGTACAAGCCCACCATCTCCCGGGAAGAAGGTGAGTAAAGGCGTTTTGTGATTTTATTTTAGTTAAGTTCTGAACTATTGTATAGCTATAAACTCTATTTGGATTTGGAATATTAAACATCTGGATTTCGAATATCTTATTTGATTAATTACTAAATTTTCAAATATAATCCAACTTACACTGTATATTAATTTGTACTCGTTTTTTAATTCTAGCTATCAATATGTTACGAGACCAGCCCCCGGGCACCTTTGTCGTCCGCGACTCCAACTCATTCCCTGGCGCCTTTGGCATGGCCCTCAAAGTGGCCAGTGTCCCCTCGAACCTCCAATCAAAGCCCACCCAAGGCGATGAGCTCATCCGRCACTTCCTCATTGAGCCGACATCCCGCGGCGTCAAGTTGAAGGGCTGCCCGTCTGAGCCGGTCTTCAGCTCTTTATCGGCTTTGGTCTACCAGCATTCAGTCACACCACTSGCTCTGCCGTGCCGGTTAATCCTCCCCGAGGGAGACTTGAAGTACCACGACAGTGYCAACAAYCCCGCTCAACAATTACTAACRCAAGGTGCAGCCTGTAACGTGCTGTACCTCTTCACCATGGACATGGAGTCGCTCACGGGGCCTGAAGCCGTGCGAAAGGCCGTCACACACCTCATGCAGAAGGCGCCAAAAACCGAGACGGCTGTTGTACATTTTAAAGTCAACGGACAGGGCATTACTCTCACTGACAACAAAAGGAAATTGTTCTTCAGGAGGCATTATGCCATTAACTCTATCTCGCATTGTGGCTTAGATCCGGACGAGATGAGGTGGTCGATCAGTGCGGAAGAGGGGTCGACGGCCAGTCCAAAGTCAGTCAAATTCTTGCGTTTTTACTGTTAATTTACTTTTTTTTTCTAGTCGKATATTTGGATTCATCGCGAGGAAACCCAACGTCAGTAACCCCGACAATCAGTGCCATTTGTTCGCAGAGTTAGAACCCGAACAGCCAGCGATAGCTATCGTAAATTTCGTTAATAAAGTTCTTACGTCAAGTGGTATCAAACCTAATATTGTGTAAATTTTCACCGAACATGAGGAGGAGGAATCACATCACATTTAGAATTAAATTATCACAGTATTTGGAAAATACTTAAATGATTTCGTAATGTTTGCGAAAATGCCGCTAAATTTTCATTAACTAGTCTTACTTCATAATTTTCTTAGACTTTAAGTTTATATCTTGCAAGTAATTTATAWTTAATATTGTACATATATATTAAGTAACACTAAGTGTGCCTGCCTTATTTTATTTTTTAAAATATATTTTTTTTTATTTTTAAGTGAAGTGCTTTAAATATTGTGAATATTTGCATGTTCACTAACGATACACATTCTACTGAACCTTGTTGGTTTTTGTTATGAAAAATTAACAAAAATTTTTGTCAGTGGGGTACTTTTTAGTTCATACTTTGCTGTGAATGACAAATAATTGTTTTCCATTTATTTTTTGTTCATTTTTCATTTCGCACTAACAAAGTATCTGTAATCAAAACATTAGTATGCAGGGTAATAAAATCCTAAATTGTAAAAATATTATAGATTTTAATTTAGAATCCATGTTTTAACAAAGCTTATTAATAACAATAGTATTAAAACGGATATGCGTCATCTCTGGGTCTTGGAGCATTTTCAATTAATTTCCGGTAATTATTGTAATAGTACAAAAATAGTTTAACTCATCAAAATGTCCTAATCAAAGCGAGATATATCAAATGCCATACTTTAAAGATATAACAGATTGTATCTAGAAGAAAGAATAGATAAACTAATAAAAAATCTCTCGTTTACATATTTCTTTTGCATATTTCCCACTTTGGGGACTCTGTGTCCTCACTATAGCTGTCATGAGAGTGACAAATGATGCTCTTGTATTTCTAAAGAGGCCATTACGCTAATGGACCCCTCGTGCTTCGAGTGGAATCTAGGAATGCGTCCACAAAATAAGACAAAAGTTACATTGCAAAATTTATTACCAGCCATTTTTTGTTTATTRACACGAAACTGTTAGAACATAAATAACACAACAATAAATAAATTTAATTAATCACTTCCACTTCTTCCAAATCTCATATGTCCGTAGTCGTCAAACGGTTCTTCTCCCCTCTTACCAAAACGCAAATGCCCATAATCGTCCGAAGTCTGGCGTTTTGAAAGCTCGAAAAGGTCATCATCGTCCACTATAATCAATTTTTTACTCCATATTTTGCTAAAATATACCAAACTTACCTATAAATTCGTTAATAGGCTCTGCTTTAATCCGACTATATTGGGACGTCCGGGGAGTTAGTCTAGAAAAAGGCCTAGCCCTTAACCTATGTGAATCTACATTATTTACATTTCCTGGAGCGGCCGAAGCATTTTGAAATTGATGTATGAAAAGAAGATACACACTTGAAATGAGAAATACTCCAGTTAAAAAACTCTTCATACCCATAACTGCAAGTGTGAAGGGAGCTTTAGTTAGAATTTGCCAAATTAAAAATCAAGGAGGCAGTTGTCAAATAAATTCYGATTGTTGTGTTATTGTTACAAGCAGGTGAGAGAAATATTTTTATTACCTTAGTTTTTATCTTACAAACACTACACAAGAACTGCACTTGATCTCGGCCGCTCTTTGCTTTTATAGTAGAATTTAGCGTCTCAAAATTCATCTTGGGGTTTACTTAATACAATTTCATAAAAATTCTGGGCTTTATTAGATTGTCAGTATGTACGAGTAAGAACAATAAATTCTATTACAGGACGTCAATCCTTGTTATACAAAATCTAAAGCTACACAACATGCATAATAATACTGAAAATACAAAACAGTAGAATCACAACCACTCGAGTTTCTCTTTTTGCTCCCTTTTCTGGTTGTCGTAAGTCTGCAGGACTGCAGGAAGGATTGGTTTGTTCTTCTCTTCCTGTTTCTTCTCTCTACGCTTCCGGAAACTGTGAAGACTCAACCTGCGCCAAATTTTTGTTCCATTTTCATTATCCACTTTATTCTTCACACTGTGTCTCCTTGTTTCATTTATGTCGTTGATGAATGGATCAGTTTCAATTTGTGTTGTTTTTTTACCGGTGAATAAAGATTTCAACGTTTGCGATACTTTGTAAGAGTGTGACCGATAGTTGTGAAAATTACACTGGTTTTTAATCCATGTTTCCATTTTTTATTAACAAAATTGACAAGACTTGTCTTCTCGAGAAAAATTCAGCCACTGAATAAATGCAATTATCGGAAAAGAATTGACAGGCGCAGTGCAGTAACTTAATGAGATTATTCAAATTCCAATGAAATTTTAATATCTCACATTTTGAAAGGCTTCTGTTACGTAAATTTAAACCAGAGGTTACGTATTTTAGGTTTTTACGATGGAGTGTGAAAAGGAAATCGTTGAATTACGGGAGAAGATTAAATGCAATCAGTCGGAGGTCAATGTTGAGAAGTTTGAGTTGTATCATCGGGAGATTAGAAATGAATTGTTGTTAAAACGGGTTTATAAATTTTTATCTTTGCAAATAGGGTTTTGATTATTTCTTTTAGAATCAAGTGGTACAGTTGAGAAAAGAGCTCGATAATGCTAATTCAAAAGTTTTCGACTTAAACAGACAGTTAGAAGCTAACAAGTCAGTATTGAAAGAAACAGAATTTAACTTGAAACTGGCGTTGAATAAGTCTAATACAGTGGAGGAAAAAATGAAAGATATTAATGAGTCTCATGCCACTTTAAAATTAAAAGAAGAGATGAGAGTGAGTATTTCGAAGTTTTTTTTTATTTTTTCATTACTTGGGAAAGTACAATTCTGATTGAATGTTCGCACAACAAAACCGTCAGGAGCGTCCAATCAGAATCGCTGCGGAACAGACTAATTTCCTATAAAAATATTTTTTATTTTTTGCTTGTGTTAAGATGTCAGAAACTAAAATTTTGAATGAGAATATTCAAAAAATTGCGCACGAAAAACAGTGTTTATCCCGGGAGGCAGAGGAATTGAAAGATAAATTGAAATATTCTCGCGCTTTTCAAGATGAGCTTGAAGATCGACAATGTAAAATTAATACGATAACAACAAAAATTAAAGAGTAAGTTAAGAAAAGTAACGATTAGCTAATATTTATTTAGGAGTTCAGATAAATTGGAAAAGGAACATGACGTAATAAAAGAACTTAACAAAAAATTGCAAAGTGCCGAAGAATTTAAAAATGTATGTCAGCTCCTGAGTGAAGAGAATTCGAAACTGAAAAATGAATACATTAAATTGGAAGATGCGTACATTGAAAATTGTGGTAAATATAGGCATACCGGATGTTTTAAAATTCAATATGTAGACATATTAACCACCAATATAACTCCATTCTTCTAGATCATTTCGTATAATAGTATGTATTATTTACAATTAAATTTACCTTACTCAGTGCAAAACAGTATTATTAACTGTAGTTTTTTTTTAAGTGTAAATTTGACCTTAGTACATAGTTAAACAGCTAGTAAATTACCTTATATAAAGTCCTTTTATTCCATTTAATAAATTTTTGAGAAGTCCAAGTAGAATATTATAAATATAACAAACACCTAGTTTTAAAAGGGCTTATTTGAAAAAATTGTGWTTTGTAGTTAATACTGTTTTGCTATGAGAAGTACAGGTATAATAAAGAGTCATCATGATTTACCACTTCCAAGTTAAAATGGTATGTATTAAAACATATTGATCGCCGCCAATGACCAGTTGCGTAGCCGCCAAAAAATGAAATTTTGAAAACTATGATCTAAGATTTACCCACGCTGTGACTACCGAACTTAATTAACTAAATTAGTTTAATAATAATTACTATTATTATTATGTTTGTCGTATTTACATTAGTCAAGTAAGTATTACAAAGAATTATTAAGTGACGCGTTTACGGAAAAAATTGATAAAAAAATGTTTCATATTCTGACGAGTTCTATTTGTGGTTATCGAATCTACTACGAATTTTAAGACACCTGATGCTGAATATGGAGGCACAAACTGCAAAAAAATTTCAGCAAAATACGAGACTTTGAATAACTGCATTACTCGTCAAAGGAACGCTAATCAGTTGAAGATTTTGGAAAAAATTAAATTTCTGCGGGTGACTGCTCAACCTAAAACATTGCGAGACGTAACGAAACGTTTTTCTTTCTAGTGRGAAAGTCATTACAAGAAACTCCAGGAAAAAAACTTCGAATATGAGCAAATCATCGCTAAACTCAGTCGTACTTTAGACCAGGAAATCGAAGCAAACACTAAACTGATTTTGCAGAATGAAGCATATGAAAGTCGTATTCACGAGTTAGAAGAAAAGCTCAATATTGTTAAAATAGAGAAAAAGGAAGGAGGTATTGTCGAGGAGATTATTGAAATTGAATAAAATAACAGTTCCAAAAATTTATTTACAAAATAAATTACAATAACCTATACAATATGTGTATATAAAAAGACATCTCTAAAATTTTCATTTGATCTGATGGTCATTTTTTAAAAACTGCATCCAACTAAGTCTTACAAACCCGGCTTGATATCCCGTTGCGTAATATAAACTCGCTTGTCTATTAGGATTGAACACAATTTTGTTTATTGTATTTAAAGGATACTGATTTGGTGGCGTAATTCCGTAATCTTTCGATAGTGCACTTAACTGTTTTGCCACATTTTTAGGAAAATCATCGTAAGTTTCCTAAAAAAAATACATCAAAAATACAATCGTCAAACATCACACTAAACTACCATTTTATTATCACAAAACAACAAAGCGTATTTCTGCTCGGCCTCTTCATACAACACAGGCTCGTTCATAAACAGATCATTGTGGTCAAAATCCGACTTAATATTAGACAATTTAACCCCAGCTGTCAATTTTTTCGTCAACAAATTCTGTAAAGTCTTTTTCCGGATTTTTTCATTGGCAACTCTTTCTTCACTCGACTTGCTTTTCTCAATTAGGGTGGTGTAACCAAACAACTTAAAAAAAAACAATACAAACCACCCAAAAGCATTTGAAACTCACCATTCGTTTCGTCTTTAGAACTTTCTGATGTTCAGGTGTGTGCAGTAACTGATGAGGGAAAAGTGCTACAATCTCGCCTACAGCGTTCGCATGCAGAAGGCCATTCAGCCAATCACTGCCCGAGATTGTCGAAATCGTAGATGACGAGCAAGTTAGTGGTATATTAGGGTCGTACATGTAGTCACGTGATTGTTTCAGCATTGTTGTAACATGTGCTACAAAAATCGAATTTATCTTTTCTTTTAATGTACTTCAAGTCGACTTACCTGAAGTTGACCCTTCATCAGATGCTATCACATAGCATAACCAATTATTAAACCAAAAACCATCAGTAATTACGTTTTTTTTGACCGTGCAGATGGGGTAACTGTAATTATCCAGGTCCCAAAGACTCACAGCGCGATCCATTGACCCGGAGAGTAACCAACGGCAGCCCCCGTTAAGGTGGTAGAGAGAAAGAGCTTCAATTTGTTCTATTTATAAAATTACAAAAAATAGATAGGTAATACCAGTGATGGTGTGTGAATGCGCCTGGAAGCACTTCTGGGGCAAAATGCACGGAATGCTATCATCGTCATTATATTTCAATAGTACAGAACTTGTTTTAAGGTTAAAAAGAGCAACAAAACCATTTGTGTAACCCACAGCTATAAAATTATGACCAGAAGACTGAAAACTTGTATAAACATATGATCACTTAGCATGACAGAACTTACTTTACTCCATGATATTCTACAAGGATAATACTTGAGTCCACCTAGTAACGAATTACCAGGTCTCTGTAATAATAATTTCATTACAGGTCTAGGTTTATAAAACAAACCTCTACAATCAAAATACTTCATTATTTGCAAATTTTCAAAAATATGACATACAATTCCTGCGTATTAAAAAACGGGATTGAATAAATATAAACAACTGAATTCGACCCTGTCACTGCTAAAAGTCCCATACGCCCATTTCTTCCCTCTTCATAGTTGTAACACCCTGAAGGACACCACTCCATATGCCACACAGGGCCATAATCTTGAGCTAAAGTAAAAACTAGTTCAGGTTTTTGCAGCGACGCTTCCGTATTTCGGAGCTGACCAAAATTCCAAAATTGGATCGCCGATTTCACTTCATAATTCTCATAAGTCTCGTATTTTTCATCAGGAGAGTTAAGTACCGAAACGGCTAGAATCTGATTGGTTTCTAAAGACGTACAAGGGGTTGGCAACCATGCCATTGATGATATGGGGCCTCCACAAAACAGGGTGAGTTTGTGATCACCGTGAATTTTCGATTCAAATAATTTGTATTTTCTGTATGTGTAAGAGTCTTTTTGTGTACTTATGAAAGTTGTTACGTGAATTTGGGCTACGTCGCAAGACTCATCGAGTTTGGGTAAATAGTGGGTGGCCATTTCCGGTTTGAGGAGCGGCCAATTAGTTTCACTAAATTTAAATTCTTGAAAAAGAAGGTTGGAGAAATTTTCTTCACAACTTAAAACAACACACTAGTATTATAATTCTTTTCTCTGCAACCGAACCTTACAATTTGAAAGTCCAATCAAAAGCAAACGGAAACAGGCATTTTCCTGTTCTTTTCACAGGGCTTTGTAAATATAAGGGAATTTCTAAAAATAAATTTTAATATTTTGAGACTAATGCACTGCACTTACTGCTAGTTTCTTTCTCTATAGAGTTAGAATCGCCATCAACTGTTACATTTATTTCATGAGCAAATTCAATGTGATAAATAATGTCTTCCAACTTCGTTGAAATCGACAAACATTGCTTACAAACAAAACCCTGAAAAAATCAAATAACCCCCGATTTTTTTTTTTTACAAGAAACCTACCTCACTCAACTTTTCCGTACATTCATTCAAGTGATTCAATGCATCCTCCAGATTTGTTGTAATACAATTACACTTAAATTTACATTCTATAAATTGTGTCTCGTCTAATTCTTTCTGCATTAAATCCTTGGCAAATTGTTGTGATCCTAAATCTAAATCTGATGAAAAATACTGGTCCTAAAAAAATAATTACAAGCTTGTACACCTTTAAATGAATTCACCTTGTTATCAATTTTTGTGACATTTTCTATAATTYTCATTGCTCTAAAAACAAAGAATAATAATAATACTAATATATCCGTTTTTATTGGAATAAATACTTTTTTGCTGCACTTCTTTTAGAAGGAAGCGGTTTTTCAACGTTATTTTTTGGTTTTTCAGGAACGTCTTCTTTTTCCGGATTTTGATGTAACATTTTCATGTGAGTTGYTAGACTCACTGGTAACATTTTTCTGCCGCATAATTCACAAGAAATTTTAACAGATTCAAGTTGTTCTTCTGACTTTAAGCATTGGGAACGGTGAGATAAAAACCCAACCACTGATTTTTTTACTTCCCCGCATTTATCACAATATAAAGGTTTCTTTTTCTTGTACAACGAGTTGAGCGTGTGCATTACAAAAGACTGGTCATTTAGATCCTATAAAACATTTTATTCAATTTTTGTTAACTAAACTGATTACACATGACTCACTAAGGGTGTATCTCCAACCCGCCATGCTAAATTATTATGATATCTTTGTTTATGGTGGCTCCATATATTTTTATCAAATGTGGTATTACAAACTGCACAAGTGACGTTGCCACTACCGTCATCTAAATCTTCCTCTTTTGTATTTTCTTTTTTTTGTTTTATGTGTGACCTGTTATTGAGTCATTAATAAATAAATATGGACTACTTACAACTCCTTACCTTTTACTACTATTTGGCAAATTATTACCATTCCTAGTATTATTTTTTGTACTCATATCATCACTAGTGTTTGAAAATAGACTAAACAGTTTATTCATCATTTTCACAGTCTCTCCTGTATAGTTGTATCTTTTATCTTTAGTATTTAGATTGCTTGTTGTTGGTTCAAAATCTGTGGTGGAATCATCAAGGATCAGATCTTTTATTGAACTATCATCCCCTTTGCCATTTGTTGATTTAAATAGATCTATTGTATTTTTTTAATTACACTGGTATATCAATTAATATCAAATAACTTACCCTCTTGCGATTCATCGTTCCTTAAAACATTCTCTTCTTCTTTTAGATTTGCTAATACTTCTTTATCAAAAGAAATATCTGAAAAATCTGATTTACTGTAACTTTCCTTAACTTTTTTTTTGTTAATTTTTATTTTTTCATTTTCACTATTAAAATAGTTTATATCTGTTTGAACAGGTAATGCATAATCCAAATTATCTGGATTGGCTAATTCGTAATAATTCACTTTTTTACGTCGGCGTCCCCTTCTTGAGACAGTCTCTTCGTTTGGACTTGTATCAATAATTTTCTCTTCAAACTGTTTAACAGTAGTTTCCGATTTTCTCTTCCTTCCTCGCTTCTTGGGTGCTGGAGGTTCACTTTCAACGTTTTCATTTTTTTCGATACCAGTTTCATTAGTCGACATCGTGTAATAATTTTTTGATAAACATTAATTTTTACTCATTGACTTTTTTGTGACATTCTAAAATAACATGCACGAATAAGTTCATTATTTCTACATACAATCAAGATAATAACGAAAAAATATTCTCAGAATTTACTTACACGAGTTCATTCACATAACCTCAATGTGTAATAGCTTTGCTGATATAAAAATCCCCACTTTACTTATCAAAAAAATCATTTTTTTTTATTAATTATAAAATATGTTTTTCATTTTCGTGTTAAATAGTAATTAAATAACTTTTTTTCTATTACAAAATGACATTTAACTTGGGGATATTTCAATGAAAAAAGTGTTGCCAAAATATGTAACGTCGCCAAGCGCATGCGATCCAATGCGTTTGTGGCTTATTTTGAAAAATTAATTCCCACCCAGATTTCTCTACCTACTGTAAATTTAAAGTTAAAATACAGATTTGTCAACACGAAATTACCACCTAGGATTTGAACTCTTTTAGAAAAATTACGTTTTTCATGTTGTTTGTAACTGGAATTTTCAGAAGTAATTTTGAATGCTTAGGGTTGGTTACTTCTTATATTTAACCAAATTTATGGCGACCTATTCACAAATATCCCTAAATCGTAGGAATTAATTTCTTGTTGATACAATACATATTTTTTTATAAAACTTCAAATTTCAAGCGTTTATTCCAGAGCACGATTATTGATTATACAAAGCCTAAATCAAATATATTATAAAATAATACATAAAAACAGTAACAATACATTTATTTTAACTTTCAATTAATCATTCATAATCATCATCATTGTTTGGTAAAGCAGAAGCTTGAGCTTGTGCCGCAGCTTGCAGTTGCTCCCATTGCTGTTGTTCTACAAAAGCCTGCTCTTGTCTAGCCTTCGCAAACAACTCCTGTTGTTGCCTTAACAACTCCTCTTCTGGAATTCCCAAATTTTCTAACCTAGTGCTTTGTCTCCTGCGTTTAGCTGCAACTGCCTTACAATCCTTAAGAACAGCTTCAGCTTCTGTTTGGTAATCACCAAAACCTAACTTTTCTAAAGCTGCAACAAGTCTTAGTTTTCTATTGTTTTACAAAACGTGGAACATACCCATCAACACGTGTTCTGCATTTATAGTTTTCTTGTCTAATCTATTACATATTTCATTCGCTTCAGAGCTGAGCAAGTGGATAAATTCCGTACAACAGTTGAGGATTAATTCTCTAGCTTCGTTTGCAACTCGAACTGATGGGACCAACTCCTTTATCATTTTATTAATGCTAGCCCGAGGTAAAGTCAATTCGTCATCTTCGGTGTTTGTTAAACCACTTGCATTATTCTGATTAGACATTGCAAATTTATTAATAATAATCTGCAACAATATTTATCAACAAAAAGATGTGATTTAACCTCAATTTATTGACATTGACAGCTTGCGCAAGATAAATAGAATAAAAGCGCACGAGAATAAAACATCCCGAGAATATACGCTCATGAGAATTCCCCCAGTACAACTTTTAATTATTACGTGGTTGTGGGATCACCAGACATCAGAAAATTAGGGGATTCATTAAAAAAAACATGTTTTACACTTTTGTGCCGTTAACTAGATGCTAGATGTTTAATGTAAAAACTAATTAATATAATAAATATRTGCTAGACATTAAACGATTTAAATAGAGTGTAAAATATCAATTAATATTAAAACATATTTGAATTATTAATTTGAAATTATATTTAATCATAAAGCTGTGGTATATGCAACCAATTATACACCAATTGCTTAATTTTGCGCTGCTTAAAAGTGGATGCAATTTTATAATTTTTTTATCATCACAATTTTAATTTAGAAATTCGACTCCAATAGTTTTTAGCTCTAACAAATTTTTAGCAAAGGCCTCAAGAGGGTTTTGGGCCAATTTTTTGTCCTAGTTGAAAATTTTTGGTCAATTTTTTGTGACCAAAGTTTTTGTTTTACATTTTGTTACTACATTTTTTTTAATATTTTTGAAAATCTAATCTAAACTTCTAATACTTTTAATTTCACACAAGACAAAAAGCGTCTTTTTTTGTACAACTCCAGATACTTATAGATTTTTTAATAAAACAAATATCTCTTTACTATCCTTTATTCAAAATAGTCTAAATCTTAAACTAAAATACATACAAAGGTATTTACAAAGTGATTCTTTGGTATTTTTATATACACATTGCACAGTTAGTTATACAATTACATTTTTCTTAATTTCTTTTTAATTCTAGTCTTTGGATAAACACATCAGACATAAGAATAGATATCATTTAGTTTAATTACACACATAAAGAGAAAAGTCGTTACACAATTATTAATCTATTAAACAATAAATAGAAAACAGACAACTACAATGATTATAAAACTACTTCTCCAAATAGTCTAGAGGCTACGTTCATAAACATTTGTTTCAAGACGAACAAAATTTAAAAAAGACGAAATTTAAAAAAAGACTCTAGAAATCTTTGGTTATAATTAATTTTAGGCTGCATCTATCACATCCAAAAACAAACTAGACGTCACACATTATTTACAAAAACAAAAACAACTTTTTAAATATAGAAATAATTCTCATAATCCGCATACGAATTGCTTCCGTTTTGTGAGATTTGTGAACTACTTCCGAAAACTTTCAAATCGCTGTTTTTGTTCCTACTGACGTACTCTTTACTCGATTTAAGTTGAGCTGTTTTAGTTTTGGTCTCTTCTTTTGTGTTTGTTGGAACCAAAGAGTTCTGTGATTTAGAAATTTGGGTTAATTGAGTCGCTGACTGGAAAAGCCTGGATTGAGGTAACGGTGGCAAGTCAGACACCCAGAAAATCTGCAAAAAATAATAGTAAATAACCTAATCCCGAATTTCTGAAAATAATTACTTTTCTTCGCGAGAGAGGCAAATAGTCGGGGTTTCTTCTGACTAGGAAATGGCATTTGTGTGACGGTAACCAAGTTTGCTGCACCTGCAAGGGCCTATCATCCGGATGTAATTTTCTTTGTTGTTCCTTATCAGTGTTGACTTCGTACAAAGAGAATTGTTCCACACGTTCTTTGCTGTTGTAACAATTCAAAAGAAGAGCTATCAATTCATCTACTGTTGTCCTAGCACTTATTAATAGACTTTTATATTGTGAGTTACTGTTGAGGACCGAATCGTGAACTTTTACCAGACCGCCGCGTCGAGTCTGAAGGGAAAATCTACGGCAAAAATCATAATAAAAATTTATTACCATATTTTTCAAATTTTATTACTTCGAATCGCCTCTTGGGTGGCAACTTTGTAACACCGCAGGTCTCGCTTCCTCATCTAAAGCCAGATGTGTTCGAACTCCAGCTTTACGAACCGTAACTTCCATACTGAGATAGAAAAGTTTAGGGTCTCGGTGTTTCATTTTATATTTGCCCAAAAGTGTTGCTACTACTTCTTTGCATGTCGTTTGGAAAGTGATGCTGAGGGTCTTGTATTCGATATCCGGTCGTAAGCATTTGGCGTAAACTTTTATAGTTGTCTGCAACAATAAAAAATCTCAGTAAAAAAAAAGTGTTCCGGTACCGGGAATCGAACCCGAGCCTCCTGGGTGAGAGCCAGGTATCCTAGCCACTAGACCATACCGGAGTTACTTCTGACTACTTCGCGCGAGAACTCGAATCTTCATATGTTACTACCCGAATAATAATGACTTTTTGTATTTTCTAAATTATTTACAATCAAATTCTTTGATTTAAAAGTATTTAATTAAAATTATTGTTAGTTTATTTATTTATTATTAGAAAATTGCATTAGGTATAAACAAAATTTATATTAGTTTAACAGAAACAATTAGGTTTGACACCTATTAAGAAGAATTATTTTTATGCAAATGAAAAGTAAAAAAAAAGTATTCCGATACCGGGAATCGAACCCGAGCCTCCTGGGTGAAAGCCAGGTATCCTAGCCACTAGACCATATCGGATGCTTACTTACACTTTCAAGCAAAAAAAGCTCAAACCATCCCAAATATTATTTTTAGCCTTTGTATTGTGTATTTCCAGTGTTTTAGTTCTTTATCATTAATTCATTACCAAAAAAAAAAAATTATTATATTTTGTTATTAAACATATCTATAAGTTCCGTGCTTGAAGAAATGTTTTCCTTATTTTTCTTGACAACACGGGTGTTCTACATCAAAGACAAGATTAATTTATTACTTTCAAAAATAAAACACTCTCACGTCGAGGTTTTTGCTTATGTAATAATTATTCTATTGGCGCACTTGTCACCTCCATAATTAATAACTTTTACTCTCTTGCGGTGAAAAAAGTTAAACTGCTCACTCACATGAATGTTCGATGCTGGCACAATATCCACGCCAAAATTCTGGTACTGAACTAGTGAAAACATATTCAAAAATCTCTCTTTCACACTCAATTACTTAACAAAACCGGAGATAGTGTCACAACAATCCCAGACAAGATCTTGAATTAGATTAAATCGACACCTTTACCGTCCGTCTCGATGCTAGGCSTCTTCCTGTTCGTCTCAAAAAAAGAACCATTTTATGTGCGCCGCGCTTCTCTAAGTATGATAAATGAGATTATGCTCCATATTTTACGTTTTGAGAGTGGCAGCAGGGCGCAACAAACACGTAGGATAAATCACCAAAAAAAAAAAAATCAAAACGATGAGGCAGAATGGGTTTTAATCAAAATTGCAAAGTGTTGACAATGTTTGGACAAGCAATTTGTTGTAATTTATGGTCTACAGGTCTATATTTGGAGTTTAAATAATTATTTGACGTTTACGTGGGTTATTATAAAATGCACTTTATCCATAGGTATTTCTAATTAATGACACCATCGCCCAAATGAAACACTTAATCAAAGATTTGGTAATAAAAATTCTTGTCTGCAAATTTAGCAAACTATTCGTGTCACAATTATTTAAATATCATTTTAAAAGTCACAAACATTAAAATTAATAACAAGTTCAAGAACCTAACGATATTATAATTGGCCTTTCAGAAGACATTCTTTCATAAATGTTCCCATCCATCCCATCAATCGATCATACCACTAATTGACTCCGTTACATTTCCACTAATTACCCTAGTGTCTAGTACTAGTGGCGCAATCTAAATTGATACATTGCATCTAATTATTGTCGGGGTAATACAGATGCTGGCAGCCTAATTAACTAAATAATTGCACGGCCATTTAATTTAGCATAAATACCACAATTTGTAATTCAATCAAAGTAAATCATCGGATGTTAGCGAGCTTTTTAAGAGGGTAAGTAGTGTAATGTGATAGTGCCGGAAATAGACATTTTTGTGTGGTGAGCACGTGCACTATGTGCACACCTGACAGGCAGAGGTTGTATTGTTTAAAGAGTTAAACGATCCTACACAGGATACGTTTAAAGTGCCCTTATACGGTAATTTTATCGGAGCGGATTTGCACAGAAACAAATGGGACAATATAATATGCAAGACATGTGGAAGTAAGTAGTAGGAGGCCTTCGAGTAAGTCCCCTGCTTCTTAACATCAATTTATTTACACTTCAGTGAGGATTATATTTCATGTTTTTGAGAAGCTTTTTGTTCTATGGTTGTAAATGTTTCCATCTTTGACTCAAGTCAAAATTTTGAGTCAACAATATCTTTATTAATGTCCACACAAAATATATTGTAAATAATCAAAGCAGCAAAWATGGATAATGCTTTCATTTAAAAAATGCAAAGAGAAGAGAAAAATAAATGATGTTTGACTCGACATGCGTACACACCATCAGCATTTTGTTTGTTTTGGAAGATAAAAAAAATTATCACGTGTCAATATTACGTTTTAAATATGTAATTTTATAATCTTTTCCGAATTTTTAAAATTCCGAATCTTGACCTTGTTGTCACAGCATCTATGTAAAAACAAAACAGTTAGAAAACAGTCTTGTTTAGAATTTCCTCTTTGAATTAAGTGTCCATTTTGTTTAATGGCCACCAGCTTTGAACATTTGACGACATGAGTGAAATGAAAGCCGTTATAATTAGATAAAATATTTCACACGAGTGTCTTAAGCTAACAGTAATCGCAAACTAAAAACAAAAATTGATAACCACTCCAGGAAGCGTATGTAAATTATCCCCGATAAAATAAGATCAACAATAATCACTGTAACCACTACATTTAAATACCTATAAATCCGTATATAAAGCCATCCAATTTTATGGTTCAATCTCGCACTCATTTACGCCAAATTTCTTTCGAAACGGTAATGAAGAGAGCTTTTCTCGAAAATAAATAGTCTGATTTTTATTCCACTATAAATTTAGTAATAGCGTTTATTTAGATGAGAGAGAAAATAAATAGTAGTAAAGCGACATATGGGAAGCGGCTTTGTAAAGGGTTAACTTAACTAAGTTGCAACCCTTCCAATATGTATTTTTAGTGAATTTTAACGGCTCGTTCCAATATTTAAAATGTGTTTTGCGTCTGGAACGAGGCACGGGATGAAAGGGGACACCAGGTCGCCCTCCAACAAAAACACTACCTTACTGCATCCTGTCTTGTAGTAAAACGTGGAGCAGCTGCTCTTGCCGTGAAATCGTGCTTGGTAAACATTGTACTTACTAAATTAATAAATTAATTTTGAAGAAATACAGATTTTTGCTCTGCTTCCAAACCAAAAATGTTAATCTGATTGACCTAGGGGTTACCGCAAATCCATAAATCAAAGCTAAACAGGTAGTGGGTGTCTCGTACAAGATCCCAAATTCTGCGGTGCCATATGTGAGCTCATACGTCACATGTCGAGGGTCATTCGAAGCAGACACGCCATGTTGGCGTGTGCCATTTGGCGTCTTAAATCCCTAGTACTGAATCAGGAGCACATCCTGAGGGTGAAAATCGTGCCACCGAAAAAATTTAAGTCGGATGTCACATTTTACATGCCACCAACATGCAACAAATAATGGATGGTTATTTTGTTAATAGTTGTCCCAGTTTTCACATGAAAGGGTAATTGCAATATGGGTACCGGAAGCGCTCGGTTGGACACAATTGTTAACGTAAATAATGCTGGTTGTTTGGATGAGTTTATGCATCAGAATTCGCCTGGAATGTAGAGGAAWAAAATAATTTTCCTCATGATTTTTATTTATCCTTTGGAAACGTCTTTATTTCCGAAGCGATCGACGAAAGAGATTCGGCGTAACAAATCTCTCAACAATGGTTTTCATCTGGTCCGCACAAATTCTCTAAATCGACACAAAAACATAGTTTTGATCAAAAACGAGGATTAAGTACGTGTGATTGCATGCCATTTAAGATTGTCGGCAATGAAGCGCAAGTTTGATTTAGTAAAGGAAGACTATTTGCACCAATTACCACGAATAGGAAAATGCAAACTAGGTCAGAAGAATATCCGATCGAAATTAGAATAAAATRTATCAAACAATACCCATTTAACTTTCTAATTAATGATAATGAATTTCGCACAAATTACTGTAAGCTTATTACAAAACATGGAAAGTGTGGGTTTTTCTTATGACAATAAACAATAGCATTTTTGCGGCTAGTACCAAAAGTACCACAAGTTTTTGAAAAAGATTTCGAAAAAAAGAAAAATTATTTACAGTTACGTTTCACAGAATGGGAAACACAATTTGAATAATTTACGTGCCGAGAGGAGAATAATTACGATTTTGTCCGGATTATTAGTCACACTTTTATCTATTTTGCTATTTCCCGTCAGGAAGTTTTCTCCCGATTTTTCGCGAGAAAACCAACCTCAGCCTCTCCCTTGTATTCGATCATTTAAGTGTTACATAATTGTTTCAATATCCTGCAGTTCAAGGTTAACAGATAGCGGAAACAAATACATGAATCGGATCAGCGAGTTGTTTCCTGTGTTGGTATTTTTTTAAATAATTTTACACTAGATTAATAACCGAATTTTCCACAGCAGCAGATCCGACTGACTTTCGATAAGAAAGAATAAGATAAAAATTAATAGTTGAAGGTCGATACTATTTTAGTTTTGATTAACTAAATTCCTAGAAATATATCATAAAGAGTGGAAACGACTAGAATTTTAATACATGATTTATGAGATTAATTAGAATCAAACGGAACAAAATACCAGAGTTTCCTCTTTCTTGCGCTTGCAAACTCTTTGTGTGAAAATTACAAAATTACGAAATAATTACTTTATCAATATGTTGTGTTAGTTACAACTACAGTAGTTACAACATTTGTAAGACTACACAACATTCGAACAAACAATGAAGAATGAAATATTATCTGTTGCTGTTCTTGAAAGTGGTTCTGTTTGTAAATTGCATTTTTACAGGATAAATATTATTTTCCATGCGATAAGAGCATTGCGTTATTTTAACACATTTCGAAGCTGTTAAATGACAGGGCGGATATTAGATTAAGTCACAGGGCTAGACAACCAAACAAGCCTTTGTTTTCATGCACAATTTGCATCAACATCCATCAAATGAAGCCGTCACAAAATAACAAACGTTAAATATTCTCAAAGTCTAATCCACACCTTAGTATGTATGACAAGTAAATACATTGTCGTTTTCTGCAATTAAATTTCCATAAATCATTTATCACTAATGAAAAAATCAATAGCTGCGGCTAAACAAAAGGATTATCTCGTGTAGGTGGAAGATCCACATGAGTAGCGCAGTGCAATTACGACCCACACCTTCTTGCAATGCTTGCACACGCATGACGTTCGGCTTGTTAACAATAAGGATCTCAGTCACGCTAATGCTCCTATTATTAGAACCACAACGATAAAAATAAAAATTAATTAAATAAAGTTTGTCGATCAAATTACCCCCAACAAGGGTTGGCACGTGTCATGGGAGACGTGGGCCTTCAATTAAAAATAAGTTGGGTTAYTCATTGACATTTCATGATTGTGCAGACTCCCATTTTTCGTTCTTATGATCTAATCGCTGAATGTCAATAGAAATAAGTCGTATCGTCGCTGTTTGCGGAAGGGCAAGGACCTACAGGTATCGCAGAAGTTATGCRGATGTGGCATATATTAAGCAACCTTGTTCAACAACTTTTTTCCAATACTTGTTGCATCCTTGTAGTACATCATAACCTTGAGAATTCCACTAGTTTTACAATAAACCAGAAAATTATTTTTATCGCTCGTCGATATCTGTGAAGAGTAACAATTTGAGTTAATGAAGCGCTTCCCGTCTCGTGGCCCTCTATTGTTTCTAAAATGCGTTACATTACATTACTTTGAACGTGCACTTCCTTCCCGCCTACGAAAAAATATATTTACTGGCAGAAGCGTCCTTGAGTGTCCTCTACATGATAATAATTTACACGGGACAATGGTACAATGTAAATTATTTTCACACACTTTCGGAATACTAACAATTGGAGAAAAATCTGTTGACTACTAGATATTGAAACAATACAGCAAATATGTTTCGAAGCATCTGGTATGACAATAGCGTGTCAAAAGGACAAAGTGAAGGAAGTCCGCCCTCACTAAGGGGCCCCTTTTTTCAACACCGCAGGGCCATTATTATTCGTTTATTACTTGACGCCAAGAATGTTCAAATATCATCCTCTCTGTCAACATTGTAAAGAGCAACAACCCGCGTGAATGAGCAGCTTATTTCTTGAATATTAAGCACTTCTTGTATATGAATTTTATTAATACATGCTTTTATCACTTGGTAACACATGTTTGACTTGTTTGAAGAATTGGGAAACGCGCTGTTTACATCCACCATCAATATGAGAATTTTGACATTATCAAACAGTATCAAAATTTGATAAAAAGCACGACTATCAAATGTGTTTATCACTGTTCTACAGACATAAAAAGTGGTGCCACTACGACATTATCTTAGGAGACGTCTAGCCATCAAATAGTCAATGAATCACATTTAAGGCGCTAAGATGAACTTTTATAGCGTTAATAATCTTGTTTGCATAATGGATAAAACAATATCTCTTTGAGACAAACCCTCAAGGTTAAGATTTATGGTTGGTGGCGACTTGAATTTTTTGCAAGAACTAGAACGGAAGCTGAAAAATGCTGAGAATAATTACCAAAGAGGTTAATTAAATAAATCTCTGCATTCCCTATTGTTTGAAACTTTATTTTAAAATATAATGGTGAAAACTAGGCGAAGATTAAATTAGTGGGAGCCTGAGACAAAAATACTTAAATGTCAAGAACAGACAGTTGCAACATTTTGAATTTGTGGATTTTTAGCGAAGGAAAGAAGGTACGGTAACCAGATGCTATRCGATACCATGAGAACATCCTTTGGGAGRGCACTTTTTACCTTCAGTGTCTTCACTTTTATTAGCCCCTCTCTGTTACTTCGCTTGGATTAAAGAGAGACAACGAAGGATAACATAACAATAAAGAACATACTGCTCGAGCGTCAGAGTGTTGAGAAAATAAAACTAACAATTACGAGCTTTTTAAAAAGTRGGACATTGGGATTTTGAAATTTAATCGATTTCAGTGAGAAAATTTAACAATGGCTTTGTGTTCGTTATTTATGAGATTTCCGACTTTCACTGATTGTTACTAATTATTGCTGAAATAATCACTGTCAGTGTTCGAGCAAAGACATCCAGAGGAAGCGAMTTAATTAGGAATGTGAGGGAAAATGCTTTTTTCCCATTACTAATTACGAGGAGCTAATTAAAAATCACTATGTAAATAAAGCGAACATCTTGTTCTTAGTCATGTAACATTCCTAACTGAATAATTAGATTTCTGAAATCTGAAAAATGCACATAAATGAATGACAAATTTGTTGTTACACGAAATTATGTGTTAACAAGAGTTTATTAAATGTGTAGCAGTCTTCTGTTCCATCATCTTGAGTACATATTTACACTAGCATTCCAGTCGCTTCTTTAACATTTTGTTACGAGCTGCTAAAATCTAATCTTTCTTCTGCATTGTAAATAAATTACAAAAACACTGAATCAGCCTTATTTTTCTTCGAAAGTGATCGAGTGGCAAATTGTGATTTAGGTTACAAGTTTTCTGTTTTCGACACTTTTCAACTACAGATTTAAAAAACGAAAACATGCAAAAATGGCCACACGTGCCTTAGAAACACATAATAATACAAGGACAAAATAAATTCCCATTGTTGTTGCAAAGGTAGATATTTCCAACAAATTACATCACCTCTAATTGATTTTCAGCTTTWCTACTGACTGAATCATTTTACGAAATCATATGTTTATCCATTCGTGCGTTTGCTAAAAAAATGCTATCATTGCTAATAACCCYCTTATCGTCGAATAACAGTCCGTTACTGTTGGGTCACAAGTCAATTATCCGACAAAGCCAATTAGAAAATTTCAAAACACAGTGACAAGGAAATACTGAAATTATCACGTCTAGTTGGATAAGACGGCTATAATCAAATTCACCTAGTTTTCAGACTAATGAATCAATTTAAATAGTTGAAATAATTTTTTGCGGAATTTTTATCAACCTACTGCACATGTGTCACACTAACTAGCAGTGTTCGGTACACAATAATAGTATTTGAGGCCTTCTGTCGACCTTACAAGGCAACCTATTTCCACGGGAAAAGAACACGAGTTCCCACGAAGTGACGTTTTTTCAAATTCTCATGCTGATGATTATTGTTTAGGTAGCTAACTGTAATTTGTATTATTCGCGTTATTAACGAATGTTTTTTCTGGAGGTTTTGGATGCACACAAGTGAGGATGGTCTTGTTTTGAGTAATCATCTGCCGGTTTCCCACGTGAGCATTTTGAATCGTTTATTAGAGTTGTAATCAAAGTCCGGAACAGTATTTAGTAATAGTAAGACCAACCTTGGATTGGCTGCCTTGATTGTGCATTACAGCAATTCTTTCTCAGAACCCTTCGAAAAAATCACACCACATAACGAAATTTCGAGATAAATTCATTGCATTGCTGTATAGTATAAAGCAATTTGTCGAGATTTATTACACTGATGATTTATTAATTTATTTGTTACACTGATAAACTCCCATCATTATCAATAAATTATTAYTAATTAAAAATTTATGTTATGTTATGAATTTTTTACACTGAACTGCAAGTAACAGTTGATATTACATATATTTAAATCAATTTACCTGTAAATTTCCAGAAGAAGAGTCATTGAGTGATGAGTAACTCGAAGAGCGACTTCCTAGAGGTTCAGGGCTGAGACTTCCATAGGATGTCGTGGAACTTAGAGACACAGTGTCAGCTCTACTCCTATAAGGAGAAAGCTGCACGTGTTTCATCATCTGCAACAAAATCAGACAAACGTAATTATAAAGAATTTTGCACAGGAAGAGTACTGGCAACTATTAATCAAGCAAGATTTATACCAATAATTGCCAATCATTGTCAAATAACAAAAAAGAAAATTTGTATGCTACTATTAACAAAAAAATCATGATTGGTTAATCTAGCATCAAATTGATAGCTTTCATCAATAATAATTAAGCAATTTACTTGAAAAATAAATTCGAGGTTACTAAAGTTTGGCGTTTAAAGAAACAGTAGAGTCTTTTATAAACTTGCTTCAAGAGTTCTCTGTTAGGTTAACGAGGAGATGTGTCTTTGTGATAACCTCGATAACCATATATCAGTCGTTTCAACATCTTGACTTTTTTGGGAGATCTGAAATATACATGTCTTTTGCCGACTCTAACAATACTTTAAGAATCACTCCATCTCTGGCAATAAATAATAAATTGTGTAATACTCTCTCTTGGTGGCAATTAAACCACCAGAATTGCCCAATTTGGGAACAATTCGATCGTCTCACTCCTAATTAATAGTCTTCTCGTCCCGTAACCAACCACAAACTCAATCACTTGTGAAATTATTACATAAGTGATTAGTATTTCTACAGTTATATCGATAGACATTTTGCTACAGTAAAGGAATTCTGTAATTGTCTTGGCAATTTCCTCTGTGCAACATCCTCCAGGACAAAAAACCTACTGACTTAGAACTGACGCAACACCGCAACTAAAACAATACTAATAAAACGTCACTCTTGTTTCACCTCAACATCCGGTCATTTTCACGTACACTAATACAAATTCCATATTCAATCCGGTCCTGATATTTTTTAAAAAGCCGCAAATACTTGTGAAACCACAGGATTTTGTTACACCGGATCGAGTTCCATGTGTTGCAAGCTCGCCCATGGCACTCACTAAATGGAACACGTTCGTAAAAGAAAATTCTAAACACAACAAATTTCTTGTCAAGTTCCCAACGATTGCAATTTTGTATTTCTCATGTTTCATCCGGATATTGCAATCTAGTGTTTTTACAGCCAGTAGTTGGACACTGAGAGACGCCAACAGTAATAAATGGCTTTTAATTAAGCTAGTTTGCAACTGCTGCATAAGGAGCTGCATTACTAGGAAACAATTAATTCGAAATTAGCATCACAGAAGTTCACACGTTTGTATACCTACAAAATTAACGCGAGACAACACTTTCCCAACAAAATATTTTCAGAAAAAAAACATATTCAAATTCAACGGAAACAACAAATAAGATAAAACAAAAGACATAAAAATGGATCAGTACAACAGGAAACTGTACACTTAATGTTACAAGCTCACAATTGATTTTAATGAAAAATGGAGATCCTTCCAAGATAATTCCTCAATTCTATAGGGACTAATCGCCACAAAGTCGTATTAAGTTACTCTCCAATTAAATTTAATTAAATAAAATGCTTCCGTTTCAAGCATTTCAGCCTCCAGTTTTGACTTTTGAACTTATTGATGATCACCTTTTCTTTTATTTGCAGCAGAAATTTGTTATTTTAGTAAACTAAATAAAAATAAACAGTAACACTTTGAAGAAATTTTAACCAAAATCTCCTGAAAATATTTTTAAAATGTGAATCACCCTCTTTCCTAGTGGCAGCACGTGCTCACAATGTGTTATTCTAAGGTCGAGGTTACACCAGAATTATTTTCCGTCCTTTGGTCACACTGATTACTTCATCAATTAACCCGTGATGTCAGTTATTCATCTCAATCGGTTAATTGTGAGCCAATTAAATACGTATTTGACTAGTAGTTTCCTCCGGTTCGCTAAACCTTCATTTCAATCAACAAATGAAGCGTTTAAATTGTCATCTTCATTTTACGTTTCCTTTCTTTGACACCGAACCAATCAAGCCGTAAGTTTCCTGTATGAGAGTAAAGAAAAACATTGCGAATTTCACAATTTCCATCAGTTGCATATATTGACGTTTCCCATTCTACCGGAGATTTAATACAGCCCATTTAAAATTTTTCGTTTCCTGCTTACGTTCTAATTTAAATTTAATTACGTAGACGCCACCGTTAATTGGTTCGTATTAAACATTTCCTGTGGTTGATACTGTCCCAATCGACGCGTCTTCTAATTTACACTCAATTAGGAAAAGTTTTACGTAATAGAATTATTTCTTGTGTGGTCTTGACATCGACCCCTATAACAATCAAGGGATGTTGAGAGGAAGTCGAGTTTATTTATAGAGTAGCAATTTGTAATAGTTTGTTTAGGGTTCGATCGTAATTTAATCGCCACGAGCTTTGTTCTCCTTCCGAAAATATTGTAACTTCTCGAGTTTTAAACGCGGCACATCTGGTTGTCAAAAGGTGTTTTCTCTTCAAGATGTTGGAATCAGAAGCGGCGATTCCGGAAATAAAACATCCTATTCAATTTCCTGTAGTTTACTACTGAATTTTTATGAGAATGTAAATAAGCCGATGTTTGATGGATTTTTCTTACAGATGACAAAAAATATTTGATTAGAGAGATAACCCAATTTTTCACTTTCGTTACCAAAGCCGTTACGAGAAACGTTACCAACAATGTGACCATGTGGGTGCCCACTGATCCCAGATGTTGGTACAAGAAACTACCTACACTTGAAACTTATAAGATAAAAAATGCACGTACACCTGTTATGTAAACCCGTCACACAAACCAAAGTCTTTGCCCTATCAGATGAATATTTATTTACATTTCTAATGAATATGAAATAATTGTTATTGGTGATAAATTAAACTCATTTGTGGGTGTACAACAATCCGTAAAAGGAGCCGTCAAAAATTTCGCGTTACTGGGAACACAACCCACGAAACTCTAAATCGTGTTAAAGCACCTACAGTTCATATTAAATATGAACGTCTAAAAAAACAATGAGTACTACGCCTTCCTAGAGAAAAATCCATTGTCACGTAGCTTTGGCCACTGAAGCAAAGTCACATTTCATAAGCCATCAACGTGAAGGTATTTTCGGAAACCAATTAATTTTAGTAAAGTTCGATCAATTCCTGATTCCGCTGAAGTCTAATCATATTTGAGCCCCCCTTTGGCGTGCAACTCGATAGCAAAACAGAAGGGAGGTGCGGTATTAAATGAAATGGGAGTGTCGGGTCATTTACCCCAAATTATGATTCCCTTACGAAATTAAATTGAGTGAAAGTGTCTGCGAGGAGTGCCAGGAAGGATGTACACTTTTTGCAAATGGACCAAATGCATTTTTTCAACTTCTGGGAAAGAAAACATACCATTTCCTTGTGTGGTGGTCGAAATATGGCAGCCTGTAGGTGGCTCCAGGTGTTCTCCACCAACACAACTCAACCAAAAGAAATGTCATTGGCAATTTGCGACTATTAAACTGTACCTACTTGACTGTTATCTTCTTCAGGAAAAATCGAACAGGTGTGATCTTTAAAACAAGCATTCATGGCCCGAGTTGACAGTCCTGTCTCTGATAACGAAAGTACTCGAGTAACCAGTTAATAATATACAATTATTTATGCAAATATCAATTTTGTATGTCATTAGATCAGCGTTGTTGCGACCAGTTAAGAAAATATTCATCGTAAAATCTTATGTAATTGAATGGGTTAATACACGACCTTCAGAATTTTATTAAAATAGTCACCCAAACAAGACCGAGGCGTGTCTCGAATTTTCACGATAAACTAAATTGTTGCTTTCGGTGAAAAGGTTTCAATCTCGGCGAATTGGAGAGAGTGCAAAGATCGGCGGACCAAGCAGGTCAATTGAATTCATGAAGATATCTCTGTTCAGAATTCTGATTCTGAATTTCAAAAGAGTTTAAAATGACTCTTTCTGGAACAATTTCTACTAATTCTACTAATTTCTACTAAGGTCCTTGAGTATTATAAGGGTACGAGTTTCCCTCAGTTTCTCTTTAAAATTGTAGTTCTTTTAGGAAGCCGGACGCTGTATAATTATGCGAATGAAAATATAATGTAGAAATTCATTTAAGCTCTGCTTCACTTTCACATAATCCAATTATGCTTGCAGATTATAAGTATTTGAATAAAACTCGACAAGACAATAAATAGAAAAACTCATTTGAATTAATAACAGACTACTTAGCACGAGATTATATGAAATCTGGTCGAGTAAATATTCGTCTCAAGTTTCATGTTAACTTTATAAGTGTGCATAATTCGCTTCAGTAATTGCCGCGAAGAGTCTGCATGCAATAAACTTGAAGATATAATCAAGCTGTACTTTTGACTTTTACCGAGGTTGAAAAAGCGAGCTTTAATCTATCATCTTCTGACCAGCCGAGATAATTACCATCAAAGTGGATTTTCGTTGTTGTTTTACAGGATTTAGCAGCGAACAACAATGGATGAAGGAGTGTCTGTATGTCCAGATGGGAGGGCGTGTGGGTGATGTTCCAAGAAGTCTACAGTCGGTCACCGTGTTTCTCAATACCCTTCATAACCCTGCCCTTAATACCATTATTCTGTCAAATAAATTATTGTGAGAATTATATTTACCATGTAGATTATTCCAATTGTCGGGAATRACTTTTATTATGCAACTTCAAATGAAAATTARTATATTACGGCTGTGGCCGCTTTACTGCACTTTTAAATACGTACCAAGTTATGTAAGTGAGACTTGGACTACAAAAGCTCACTTCGGAGAACTTAACGATTAAAGACGTGATGAAAATAATTAATGAAAAATGTAAGACAATTAGTCCTTTCAAACAAACAATTTATTGAGCAATGTGAGGAAGATTTCCAATAAATTAAAAAAAAAATGATTCAACTTGAAAAAATACAAGTTCCTCTTTCATTGAACAGTTTATTTACAGAAAAATTTTTGGAAATTCCATTAAAAATTCCAAAATCAGTTTGCAGATATGCAGATTTTTAGATAATGATAACCCTGGCCGCGATTTCGTCATCGATATTCGAAAAATATGTGAACCATTCTTGTGCCT